CTTCCTGGTGTCTGAGCTGACTCCAGGAGGGGCCGGGTGGATGTCACACCCATTCCCACTGTGTGTTACTTAAGGAATAGTCATCTCATATGAAGGCCGAGAGGCCAAGGAGGTATTTTCCTGCATAGGTGAAGGTATGGAAGAAAGAGGTGTTCTGAGAGGTCAGACATCCATGATAACCCCTCCCATTAGCTTCCAGAGAGTTGTATGAGGCTGAAGTTTTTTGCTGGTGGCATCTGTTGTAACTCATGGTATGTTTTATGTACTTGTTAAAACCCTGATCAGCAGCTAGTATAGAATCACTTTTCTCAGAACCCTTCTTCATATCCAAGTCAATAGAGTAGTAAAATTGTTCTAGAGATGCCACAGGAATATTTGAATGGGACTCTGGGGTGCTAGTCCCTATTTTATTCGGTTTGCTATCACGGAGGCCATGAACCTGAAATCAGGAGGCCCATGCAACTCACCTCCGTGTAGGGTCTGTGGAGTGTGGCTCTTGGAAAGGGTGGCAGAAAGCTTGATTAAAGTTTTCTGATTAAAAACAAGAGCCATTTTTTTTCTCCCAATACCAATCTTGTGAAAGGTTACGCTTCAGAGGGGGATGTTGTAGAGCCAATTAGATAAAACATTACAGAGTTCATCAGGGTTTGAGAAAATGGTCATCTAGGTGCCTTATGTTAAGGGAGAAAGCACCATGTTATCCACCTTTAGTCTCAGTGTTTTTTTTAGATAAATTATTAGCAGCCTTCTGGTTTTCAGAGCACATTCACTGAGTGCTTCTGAGCAAAGGTCATTATGATCAGAGTCCATAAAGGGGAAAGTTTAACAGTCATGTGTGTCTTGAATTTAGAGGAATTACTAGTATCCTGAGGAACTAAAAGTGATTCTATTGTAATAGTCCACTGGTTCCTTTCGCTCTCCTGAATTTGGCCTGTAACATATTTGAGCAGCAGGCTGTACTGGATGTTACAGAAAATACAAAGCTATTAGGCAGAGTCCCTTCCCGGATGGTTGATGTTCTGGTTTGGGAGGGAGACCTAGTGTCTGTGGAGTGTTACCAGGTGCAGATAGGACGCCCAGCCCTTCCTTTATTTCTGGCATTATGGTTACTGTGTGCTGTACATTGATCATTTTGTTTGAGCCCCAGAGCCACCCCACGTGTTAGGTTCTCTGTTATCCCCCTTTGTCTCCAGAGGAAGAAGAGTGACAGATTAAATAACTAGGCCGAGGTGGAGGTGCGTTTTGATTCGAACCCAGGGAACCCGACACCAGAGCCTGTGCTCTTTAACTGTGCCATTCTGAGATGGGCCGAGAACCGTGCCACGGGCAGAACTGTGCAGTGCTGGTTACGGGACAGACTTAAGGATGAGAACAGAGAAGGGGTCTGGAGTGAGACACCCCCTCAGGGTGAGCTGTGTGTGCACTCCGAGCTGTGTGTGCACTCCACACCCAGGAGCAAAGCAGGACGAAACTGGCTTCCGAGACCGGGAGCCTTCAGACNGCGTTGGTTGAGAGCTGGCTTGGGACGCCAGAGAGCCCTGGTTCAGATCCCACATATGAGGGCCAGTGACACTGCCCTCTACCGCTAAGATGCTGAACAACAGCTCAACCTGGAGCTGGGCTGCCATGAGTCGCCGGCGATGGCGTGGGCTGCAGCCCCTGCTGCAGTAGGTTGCCATGGGCTACCGTGTGTAGCCAGCAGCCAGCATGAGCGGCCAGCAGCCGCAGTGAGCGGCCGTCCAGAAGCGGGCGACTGATCTACCTCAGCCGGGAAGAGCGCAATGATGGTGCTAACTTGGGCCAGTGAAGTGATGTCCTCCACAACCAGACTGAAGAACAAAAGGACAGCAACTTGTCTGTTCCCCTTCCCCCAGTTCTCCAGCACTGTTCCCATCCCCCAATTCCCCAATAAAAAAATCTTAAAAAAAAAAAGAAAAAAAAGAAATGATGCCTTAACATATATTTTTTTTCCAGCCTTAAGTTGGTGATTTTTTTAATCTTGATACAATACACATAACATAAAATTTACCATTTTAAAGTGTACAATTCAGTGACATTAAAGTACATTCACCATGCTGTGCAGTCGTTTCCACTCTATAGTTCTAGAGCTTTTTCATCACTCCAAAGGAACCTCCTTACCCATTAACCCTCCCCCCGCCCCCCCCAGCAACCACGTATCTGCTTTCTGTCTATGGTTATGCTTATTCTGGATATTTCATATAAACCGTATTTACAATGGCTTATAATACTGTATTACAGTGATTCCTCAGGCCCCACGTAGGCAGTGGCCTAACTCATTTTGTTTCAACAGTTTTTATGATGAAGCAGTTTAGGGACAGGAGATGTTTGTAGCAAGTATTCAGTGGGGAGTGTACTTCAGTGTTTGGTGATTTCATTACATTCCTAGGTATGTGAGGAATAGTATAACCTCGTGTGTAAGAGCAGGGTTTTTGACATGCATTTCAATTCTGGCTCTACCACTTACCCAGGTGTGTGACTGGGGACAGATGACTTCATCTCTCTGGACCTCAGTTTCCTCATCTGTGCAATGGGTTTGTTGGGAGGATGAAAGAAATTAATGATGTCAGGTCCCTACGACAGGTCCTGGTGTTACCCAGTAAGTGGTAGCTTTTTTAAGTTATCACCATTGAGTAACTAGTTTACAGCTTCACTTAGTATCAGAGAAAGAGTTAATTCCTGCAGCACACATATATTAAGTGCCTACTGTGTGCTGAATCCTGGGAATGTAGAGATGGCCAGGAAGTAGTTTGCCTGGGTGCTTCCAGGCTACCATGGAAACCTGCATGGTAGCAGGTAATGGCTCTTTTCTCTCTCATTTTTAAAAACAAATGAATATTGTACAGAATTTAAATGATACAGAGAATGTTCAAAGTGCAAGCCTTTTTCCATTCCCATTTCCAGAACCCCATTCCCTTCCTTAGAGGCAACTATCATTACCAGTTTAGAAAAAAAGTATGTGTCTGTGTATGTATAGTATAGATATGTTTTTTCATATTCCCCACTCTCTCTGTAAATGGGTAGCATACTATCTATACACACTGTCACACTGTTTTGTGCCTTTGTAAAACATTTCATTTATATTGGACATAGTTGCATATATGAGGTTTGACAATTAAGTTTGCGAACGTGTTGCAACGATGTTGCTAACCTTTTTTGATATCAGAGGGATTATTCATTATGACTTTCTACCAACTGGACAAATAGTTAACTAAGTTTACTATTTGGAAATNTCCTTCATCCTCACCCGCTCCCAACTAGCAACCTTCAGTTTTTCCTCTGTGTCTCTGAGACTATTTCTGTTTACATTTCTCATTTATTCCCACAAACTGTTTTTAAACAGCAAATCCTTTTTCTCAAAAGAAATGCTACATCAAGGTGATTTTATGAAACAGACCAAAGTAGTCTTTTTATATCAATTCGTTTTAGAAATTTGAATTTATAGCATTTACTCAGAAAGTCAGTCAGTGAGAAGAGCGAGGCTGTTTTGATCACAGAAACTTGAAATGGGTTATAAAAAATATTACAGTCTTATTTTAGTCCCACAGTCTAGTTATTTCTGTATTTGAAAAAATTGCTAGTTTTTACAGCTTGCAATCCTAGGATATTTTTCAGTCAAGCTGGTGGATTGGTTCAGAAAAGGAGCAGAAGGCAGATCTTTATCATAAATACAAAACTCAAGAAAGTTCCTCACACTCAAAGTGCTGAAACTTGTACAAATGATTCATCCCTCAGCACTTCCGAGTTCAGTTGTCATCGCACAGCCATCATGCCACGACTGCAGCATGGTGGGGACAGTGGGCTGGCACTCCTGAGTGTGGCTGGCCCCCGTGTGCCATGTTGTTGGCCTGAGCTGCTGGTGTGGGTGGGCTGGTGTCAGCCCGACAGCCTCCATAGTTCCAATTCCGTCCTCAGACGTGCTGGTTTCTCCGGAGACGGCTCTGAGTTCTTCCGTCTCCTTCAAAGCCAGTGACCACGTCAGCTTCCGGCAGTAGTACAGTTTGCTCCGTAACACATTTGAACATGGACTTGTTTTAAAATACAGTTCTTGTAGTTAGCTCTCACTCTGGGGGCACTGAGAGGCTATGGGGAAGGGAGGAGGGGAGGTGAGTGGGAAGAAGGGAATTAAGAAATCAGAGCCACTGTTGGCTTTGGGTTGTCTCCGGGTAGGTTCATGCCAGTGAGGGCAGAGGGCATCCAGCCGGGCTCACAGTTGGCTTGTGTGGAGGGATGCTGGCTCCAGCTCATCACTACTTCAGGGAGAGAAGAGGAAGTGGGTTTGGGGCTCCGGGTAGAGAGGGACGGAAGAGCATTGAAGGCCCCTCGCTTCTCATAATTCTCTGAACTGCTCTGTTGAGAGTCTGGCTGTGTGTGGGCCTGGGATTGGGGGTGCTGCCTAGTTCTTAGTCCCTGCTCAGCGTGGCTCTTGGCTGCACCTTGGTCTCTGTTGGCTGCTTACGTGAGGTGGAGAGTTGGCTGGACACACGGTTCCTGAAGCACCTTCAGAAAACCCCGAGAATCCACACGCAGCTTGACTGCAATGGCTCTGAATCAAAATATGGCCGATTATTCAGACCCGGGGCAAATGTGTTGTAACAGCAGGTCTGTAGGGAACCCCAACCTTTTCCCTAATGTCCTCACGTTGCCTGTTCAGCCAGGGCCAGGGACTGTTAATTTGCATTCAGTGTGTTTCCAGAATTAAATTTGAATTATTTGCTCCCTTTTCCTTAGCATAAATAACTGAAAATCGATTTCACAGTAGCATGAATTTATAGTGTATACTCAAACTTTGGGTTTCGAGCCAGTTGGGAAATTCCCTTTGCGTTTCTGGCTTCCACCATGTGTCTGAAGAATATTGAACCAGGATGCTTTGAGGAAGTAAATTACTGTGCTGCTGCATGTGACCTGGAAGGAACCGAGGAACAGCGGAACTGAAGATACAGTTTTACTGATTTGTTTTTTTCTCCAAATTCCTTTGTTAGGCATCTGAAGAAGCCTCCCTCAGGGCATTGGAAAGTCTGATGACGGAGTTTTTTCATGACTGTACAACCAATGAAAGAAAACGTGAGATAGGTAAGTGCCGCACTGAGTAGTGAAGAGTCCTTTATGACAGAAAGGCCCCCGTGGGGAGGAAGGAGCTGGTAGCTTCGGCTGGTTAGGCCTGCGTGTTTCTCCTGGAATTCTTGCTCCTTTTGCTCTGGTTCTGCTGCTTGGTGGCTGGTGAGGTCTGCACGTCTAGCCGGGAGGGCTGTCGCCCGTGGAGCCTATTGTCCTCCATGGTGACGGACTTTCTTTCCTTCGGTGAAGCGGGGGAAAGCCCTCCCCTGCCTTGTTCATTTCCGCAGTGTTGAACTTTCTAAGACTGCAACTAAGACTGTTACTTTAAAGAAATTCATCAAAGTGTCAAAACAAACATGATTTTGGTGTGTAGATGTCCAAGTTGAGCCCTATCTAGTGCCTAGAGGGCCTTTAACCATTGTTACCTTTGGGGGCTTCTCGCTTCTTTTTCCTGGTCTCCATTGTTACCTCGCCCATTCAGAGAGGCATAGGTGTCATCACTCAGGTCTCCTGAGAACCTCAGCACCTTCGAGAACCTCTGAGTTTTCTATTCATTGACATGAACAATATTCATTAAAGCATGTGTGAACTAGACAGTGGATTCAGGTGTCAGCTCTCTGCCTCAGGGACATGTGGCCCTGTGGGCCTAGAATAACCCTTTTCCCTCTGAGCCCTCACTTAACCCCTACATTTGAAAATGAAAAACGTTTTCCTTTCTTCAAACCTGAAGGCTTTCCCCTCAGATGCCTGTGCTGACCTCACACTCACTGCTCTCACTTCCTAGGAGGCCTTTTTCTGTTTGGATTCTGCCGAGGCCTATTTCTCTGCCTCACTGGTTTCTCTAACCAGTTAAGTGTCAGGGCTGATTCCTGCCTTTGGTCCAGAGTTTGATGGAGGCTTGCTGTCCAGGTGGCCAGTAGCCCTTCAGCTATGGCCCATTTCCCCCAGCTCCTCTGACCATCATCGTACCAGCTCCTGGCAGATGCTAACTCCTTGTCTCCTCATTTGAAACTTGGTGGTCTCTTTGGGGCTTGCCCTGTACGTGCCCCTCTTTTCCGAGGGGGTGCCCTGCAGAGAACCAGAGCGTGTAAACAGGGTGCTGACAGAAGCGGAGCCCAGTGGGTGACGAGGCATTCGGCTTAGAGGGTCCCCTCTGCTTCCTTCCCTAGGCTCTCTTATTTCTCAGCGCTCTGTCTCTCCTCCCGCCCCCAGAGTGATTCCTCATTAGTGTTGTGCTACCAGAGCATCTTCTAGTAAGAATATCACCCGTGATTTTTACCAAAGAAGGTGAAAGAGCTTTCCCTTACATCAATCCACTATATTCTAACACTAATTTCTGTAAAGTTCAGTTTTGTTTTGTTTTTAAAGATTTTTATTGGGGAATTGGGGAACAGAATCAGGGGAAGGGGAACAGACAAGTTGCTGTCCTTTTGTTCTTCAGTCTAGTTGTGGAGGACGTTGCTTCACTGGCCCATGTTGGTATTATCATNCCCTTTTCCCCCCACCTCGGGCCACCTTTGGTTCTTTGAAGTCAAGGACAGTCTTACTCTTACTCCTTTTTGTATCTCGGGCTAAATACAGTATCAGTTACTTAGTGAGTATTGAGCTTATTTGTTTGTTGAATGAATAGCTGAGATTCTCAGTGGGTCCAGATTTCAAGGCTTGTTAAAGGCAGGCTGAGAATAATTGTGGCATAAAGTGTATATTTAGGAGAGTTTATGTGGTGGTGAAGTACAGATTGGATTGGCATGGGGAAAGCTGAAATCAAGATGACCAAGTAAAAGAAATAATATTTAGTAAGCTGGGCAGGAGGTGATTAGGGCCTGGCAGAAGTTATGTGAGGGAAAAGGTATAAATCTAAGAAACCTTGTAAAGCAAGCCTCAGGCCTGGTGACATTTGTTATGGGCACAGAGGATCGGGGAAGAGTCAAAGAAGGTTTCAAATTATGTGACCCTCCTCCTCTTTCACGTGTTCCTTAGACTCTATTAGGTGATTATGGGTCTCGGCTGACTTAGTGGCTCCTTAATAAACGAGTCAGCTGTGTGGGTCCCTGAACTGCCAAGCCCTGAGCAGTGCAGTCAAGGAGCAGATAGAGTCAAGACAGGTGTCGTGAAAAGCATCTCTGCTTTGCAGATTCTAACTCTTTCTGTTTGGTTTATTTCCGATAGATACATAAATAGCTCTGCAGGAGTATATCCTGAGCCAAGTTTAACTCATCATCCTGCCCAAGGATTTCAGTTTGCTGTCGAGGGAAGCCAGGTAGCTCGTGGGGAGTTCAGCCAGGCAACCCACAGACTTACAGCTGTGTGCCTGTTGCTCCCTGATGTCCGAAGACAAGTAGGTGATGGTTCCTGGGAATCCACAGTCTCGTGCTCATACTTCCCCTGTGGGCTTCCTACGGGCCCCCAATTGCTCTTCATAGTTGTGCTAACAGAGGGAAATCACCATTTCTAAGTTCAGAGTCTGAAAATATCAACCTGATTGTTAACAATAAGTATAATAAGTGTTAAAAAATCGTGTATGTATACTGATAGAAAAGTGCATAGATCATGATGTAGAGCAGGATGTACGTATCCCGGGTGCCCACCACCCTCACCAACACCTGTGACTGTCTCTGATTTTAGCCATTTTGCTGGATGTGTAGCGCCGTCTGGTATTTTTTCATTTGCATTTCCCTGATCACTAGTGAGATCGCGCACTTATTTTCTATTTAGGCTTTTTGGATACCTTATAATTTTGTCAAAGATAATTGGGCTGTTTTTCTTTACTGATTTGTAGAACTTATTTTATACAGTAAGCCCTTACTTAACCTCATTGATAGGGTCTGTGACTTTAAGTGAAACGATGTATAATGAAACTAGTAAATGATATACACATGAGTTAAATTCCTAGGATGTCTCATCACTGTTACAACAAAATTACGTTGAACGAAACGACATGATCTGAGGACCTGCTGTGCTCTGATGAGCGTTCTCTTAGCTGTTTATGTTGGAAATACCTTCTCCCGTTTGGTGGCTTTCTTTTATTTTACATTCTCTTCATTGAGCTACCTGATGAATGTTCCACTTTATAATCTTTCCCTTCGTGTTTATTGCTCTTATATGTCCTGTGCGAGAGATTTGTTCCTACCCTCAGGTCATGGAGATATTTCCTTCTAGAAGCTTTGTGGTTTTGCCTCTCACATTTTCTATCTACAGTGCAAGTACAATTTGTGTGTGTGTCTGTGTGTGTGTGAAAGTCTCACTCGGTTTGGAGCTAATCCCACCTATCCTTAGTTCTTCAAGCTTTGGGCCCTGAATCCTAAGCACAAGACAGGCAGCCATTGGGTATGTATGTTTCCCCGGTGTCTGAATCCCCAGTGTCTGCCCGAGTCAGTCCAAAGCCTCTTCTCCATCCGACACACGGCGCTTGTTCTTTGTTTTATGTCCTTGGTCCCTTTATTACTAGACAGTGTAGCCTACATGGAATATGACCACATCCTCACTTGCCGTTCATTCCTTACTTCACTGCAGTGTGGGCTCTGGCATCACCACCTGCTTGAAACAGCCTTCTTGCCAAATGGGGGGCTTTTCCAGGGTCCTTCCGTCATTTGCAGGCCTTGAACACATTTTTTGTCTTGACAGCTCTGTTCTTACTGTATGATCTCAGCCTCCTTTCCTTCTGTAACTTGACATAGTTTCCTTTGGAAATCCAGTTGGAAAGGCCCCAGTAGCTATGTTTGGGTCAGAGCCCTTCAGCTTGAGGGCACGAATCTGTGGTGTCACGTAGGCCTGACCTTTTCTGTCCTTTTGCTTTGGTCTGTTCTCATTTGGTATCTAAGACTAAATAAAAATGGCAGCAGCCATAACTGTGAATTAGATAAGTCCTTTGAGTTTTTCTGACTTCATTTGATCCTCATAAAACTAGTGAGGTAGGTGGTTAGTTTAGTATTGCAGTTACAGAAGTGGTTGAAAATGCAAACAGCTCATTGTTTCTGCTGAGAAACACCCGGTGATGCCACTGGGTCAGGCTGTGGAGCTTCCGTCTTCCTGGAACCATTGTTTGATGGGAGCTCCCATTCTGTGACCCTCGTGGATACCTTTTTCTCTCCATGGTCTGATGGAATGTTAGCTTTTTGGGTTGGAGCAGGGAGGGTGAGGTGGGTCACACCCGGGAATAGAGCTAGAGCAAATTGTTTGGGGAGATTGTGGGAAGGCACCCAGCAGCCTGTACTGCAGGGCCGGTAGTTGTCAAGATCACAGACCTCTGTCTTAAGGACTGGACCATGGTGGCTGATCGTCTGGATGTGATGAGCTCATGTCTCTTCCAGGATCTACTCTGAAATGATTCACTGAGAAAAAACTGTGGAACAGCTGCCACTGGAAGATAGGCCCTTAGTTTTCAGGAACCCATTTTGGCCCCAGAAGAATTATGAATTTATTTTAACTAAGTAGCTGACTTTAGTTCAACAGATACATCTTGAGTTATGTTTATTTTTATTTTTTATTTTTTGCCAGTAAGTTTCTTTAATGTGAGACTTTCCTTTGATTCTTTAAAATCTTCCCACAAACTGTTTTTATTTTATTTATTTTATATTATTTATATTTTTTATTTTTATTGTTTCAGGTGTACAGAACAATGCAATAGTTATCCTTTTCACCCTTCACACAGAAACAATCCCCCACCCCCATCTACTGCCCTCCCACCCCTGATATCATGCTTATCTATTACAATTCCATTGACTCCATTTCCACACTCTACTCCACGTCCCGTGACTATATGTATATATAATTATAGNGGTTTACAGCCATTGAATGTAAGCTTGGGAAAGGGTGACTAGAAGGTGTAGAAGTTTATAACTTCTGGAAGTTTCTAATCCTGCATGAGGACATGTGCATGTCAGTACATGATTAGAGCGCTGAGGGATAAGTACAGAAATAGAATTTTGTACGGGTACAACTACACTTAAAAAAACAAAGCCTGGCTAAATTGGGGGTGGGAGGGCTGCATCAAGGAAGTCTTCCCAGAGGAGGTGACAGCTGAAGTGGGAAGTCACTAGGAAAGAATTTGGGGCCTGAAGTGAGGAAGCAGAAGGGACATGTGGGATAGACGGAGCTGCGGATATTTACGGATAAGTGAAAAGCTCAGTGTGTTTAAGTGAGTTCGTGAGGATGAAAGTTCTGAGATGTTGAAGAGCAAGGTTTCTAGCAGGCGGCACAGGTGATTCTGCGAGCAGCTCCTCTGGGAAAGGCTTCTGTTTAATTCACAAAGAGAGGAGCCTCATGCACTTCCTTACCGCCCAGGAGATCGTATACATCTGTCTACATCCTGCATCCTGCTTTTAGCAGAAGACAAATGAAGTGAACTATCAAGGACTTACTTAATTTAAATGTCTTCCTTTCAGATATTAATAATTACAGACTTGCAGAATCACTGCAGAAATAGTACAGGGAGTTCTTCTATGCTCTTCTCCCATAGGGATTTATTTACAAACAAACAAACAAACAAACAAACAAACAAACAAACCAAAATGCAATAGCCAAGCCTTCCCAGAGTTCTGGTCTGCAGTTGAGCTCAGTTTCTGCACCGTCTTGGTTCCATACTGTTTGGCAGGTGAAGTCGGCACTGATGCTCTCAGAAACAGAAAGCCTTCTCTGCCTTTGCTTATTCATCATTTCCTTGACTGTAGAAAGTATTTGGGGCTCTGTAGAATTTGATAAGTATAAAAAAGACGAGAAATGACCGCCATCTGATTCAACCTTTAATAACATTTTGGTTTATTTTCTTCTAGTCTTTTTTTCTATTTACTTTTAAAATATTGTTGAGCCCCCAATGTAACTGCAGTTTTTCTTCTGCCTTTTCCACTTAACATTATAGTATAAGTGGTTTTCCAAACCATTAAATACTTCATAAATATTTACAGTGGCTTATAATATTGTGTTACATGGATTCTTGGGCAGTTAGATTGTTCCATTTTTTGCCATTGTAAACAATATGTGATTAATGTATTTGCAAAAAGCTTTTTCTGTATTTCAGAAAATTGCCTTAGGCTAGATTCCCAGAAGGACCCAAGGGTATGAAGATTTTTTTTTTAAAATAAACCTTTTATGTTAAAATAGTTTTAGATTTAGTATGAACATTTTTAAGGTACGTCATCAGACATTTTCCAGATAGGCTATGCCAGTTTATTCTTTCTATTCGCTGGAGATAAATACACTCATCAGTATTGAGTAGTCTTAAGAAAAATGTNCTCTTAACCAGTGCGCCACTCAGTCGGCCCAAAAGTCCAGTTTTTAGCTTATGCTTGAAATGCGTTTAGTTTTTCTCTTAATTTTTGGTTAGCAAAGCAAACACAGCTTCAGTGTTCATGAATTACAAGTAGAACCTTCTGAACATGTTCCCATTTTAATCTGATTTAAAAATATCTTTAAATAACCAGATGCTACAAATGTCTAATGTAAATGCGGGCTCAGGGGAATCCGGGGGTTTGGTTCTATGTAGTGGGTGTGTCGTAGTTCAGTTCTCTTTGTACCCAGTCTTCATAGCTTTATTCAAGTGTGTGGGCTGGAACCACTTCGTGCTTTTTTTTTGATGCCTCAGGATAAGCGAAAGGCTTTCCCTAGCTAGGTGGGAGAAACGGGGCCGCCATGGGGGAGGCCTTTTATTATAGGGGCTCCATCCACTCTCCACCAGGGGTGTGGTATTAGTGCTCTAGAGACGGAGCTGTTAGCCAGAAACCCCAAGAGATGGCCTGGTCATTGGAACAGTGAGGGAAGCTGAAGCATCGAAGGGAGGGCGTGATTCGCGTGGGACCAGACTCAGCAAGTGAGTGGCAACACCGAGAACAGCCCCGAGTTCCCATTTCCAGCCAGAGCTTGTTCTCTCCAGCTTGATTTCGCCTCTGGGATTCATTGAAACTTACTTACAGACAGGCCTCGGGCTTCCTGCTGGAGCCCAGGGGGCAGTGCCGCCCGCTTTTCCAGGGCTTCCTGCAGTCTCTCAGGTGGTCGCCCTTGTGGTCCCCCCTTTTCTGTTCCATTTCATGACCAGTGCTGCAGGCTAAGGAGACAGAGGGACAGCATGTCCACCACATGGGGACAGACTCATAATGCTGGCTGTCCGCTGCCCTGGCGGACGTGCTCAGCAGCCCAACGGAGGAGGAAACCGTTTCTGACGGATTTGATGTGCACAGGGCTGCTCTCGACAGCTCCTGTGGTGGCTGCTCTGCCTTTCTTTCGGGGGGGTTGTAGTCGCAACTAAAACCAACCCAGATGAAGAGGAATAGCCATCTTAAATACTCTTCCATTGTTTCCTATCCTTTATTTATAAGGTTAATCTTTTCCTACTTCTTTAGCCATCGTGTGTGTGTGTGTGAACAATGTAGTGGTGAGGAAACACACACAGCTTCTACCCCAGGGGAAACAACAATTAGCTGTCATTTATAAGGGGAAATGATACTCTTATCATTGTCTGTCCCCGAGTTAGGTTAAGGAAGAACTGTAACAATGAGTGTTTCTCTGCCTAAAAGAAGTGTCCCTAGCGAGCTACTGGCATTTCAGTGGCCGAACACACTGTCAGTGTCTCTGGTCGCTCAGGGTCGGGAAAAAGTATGGTCCGGCCTTTCTGTGCTGAACAATCAGTTGGGGTTTGTAGCTGGTTTTGAGAACATTTGCATATGTTACTAAGAGAGACGAGTTTGAAAAATGATAAGACAGCCCGGCCCTGAGTGAATTTCATGTATGTTCACAGCCTTCTTTTGTTGCTATTTAACTTTTCCAGAGGAGCTTCTTAATAACTTTGCCCAGCAAATAGGAGCCTGGAGGTTCTGCCTGTATTTTCTCTCCAGCACTAGGAATGACTATGTAATGATGTACAGTTTGACGGTTTTTGAGGTAAGTTGTCAGCCAATTTTCTCCTGTTCTGAAAAGTATTTTGTAGTTGCATTGCCATGTCATTGGCGCTGGGCTCTAGCTTTGATGTACCGATGGCTGGGAAACGGTAGTGCCTCTGCTCAGGGGCTTCTCCACACGCTGCCTGTATTGGAGTGTCTGGTGTTCCAGGGTTCCTTTCACCTGCGACACCAGGAAGGTAACATGGGGTGAGGCAGGCAGGCCATTTGTGGTAGCATATTGCCTTTCCTTTCATGTTTTCATTTGTAAAAGAAAGATAATTAAAGAAAAACAGGTTGGAAGGAGGGCTGATGCCCATAGTACCATCATCCCAACCACAAAAATGTTCATTTTTATGCACTCTTCCCATCTTTGTCTTCCCATGCATACTTTTAAAAAAAAACCTAATTATAACAACCACAATGCTCATGTCATTTTGTGTTCTGCATTTTTTCCCAACTTACCTTATTATATTTCTGTAAGCGGTTGCACTATTATTCCCCAAGCTATTCTCCCATTTTTGAATGTTAAAGTTGTCTCTGATTTTTTTTGGGTGGCCTTTAGAGACAGGGTTGTAATAGGAAGGTTTTGCACATACAGTTTTTTGTTTCCATTAAATTACTTAGCAGCTCTTCCTAGAAATGGGATTGTTATATCAGAAGATTTGAATATTTTTATTACTCTGATTGCCAGATTGCCCCAAACCTTTGTTTAAAATCAGGATTTCTTGTTTGAGGTGATAAAAGCTACCACTGGATGAAAACCAGTTACTTTTGTGTGTAGATTGCTAACTTAAAAGATGTATGTTTGTTTTTCAGAATCTGATCAATAAAATGTGGCTTGGGGTGCCATCTCAGGATAAGATGGAAATTCGCAGCTGCCTCCCCAAACTCCTCCTAGCTCACCACAAAACCTTACCTTACTTTATCCGGAACAAGCTCTGCAAAGTCATTGTTGACATTGGCCGTCAAGACTGGCCCATGTTCTACCATGACTTTTTTACTAACATTCTCCAGGTAAGGCTGTGCCTGAGGACACTTGATCTTATAAAGAGTTTGTTTGTGGAAGTGATTATTTCCTTGTCCTGAAGAGGAGTTTAAGATTAGCTTTTTGGAACTGCAGTCACGAGGTCTGTCAGTGTAGGGTAGATTCATTTTGTTCTCAAGACACGTTGTGCCTTTTTACAAATAGTGATTAGACATTTACACACCTCACAAAACGATAACCCCAACAAGTCTGCTACCCATCTGACACCGTACATAGCTCTTAAAATACCATTGACTCTATTCCCTATGCTGTAATTTACATCCCATAACTATATATATATTTAATTATAGTTGACATTCAGTGTTATTCTACATCAGCCTCAGGTGTACAGTGCAGTGGTCAGTCATCTACACGGTCTATGAAGTGATCCCCCTGATAAGTCCAGTGTCCATCTGGCACCCTACATAATCTTTACAAGACTATTGATTATATCCCCCACACTGTATTTCACATCCCTGTGACTATTTTGTAATGACCAATTTGTTCTTTCTAATTCCTTCACCTTCCCACCCATCTCCCAACCTCCTCCCATCTAGCAATTATCAGTTTGTTCTCTGTGTCTCTTGAGTCTGTTTCTGTTTTGTTTGCTCGTTTATTCTGTTCTTTAGATTCCACAAATAAGTGAGATCATACGGTATTTGTCTTTCTCAGTCTGACTTACTTCAGCATAATACCCTCTAGGCCCATCCGTGTTGTTGCAAAGACATGTACCTTTGTGCAGTGGAGAAAGGGCGGGGGAAACCTAGTCACTTTGTTGACCTCTTGTGAAATTGTGTTCAGCAAATATTTGAAAAGCTCTTTGGTGCTGTGCCAGGTGTTGGGAGTATAGGATGAGGCCGTCACTAGTCATAATTCAGTGGGGAGAGAGCTGTGCAAACAGCGAATATCCTACTCTGGCAGTGACTGCGGTGGAAGTACAATAGGTGTCGGGTGCAGTGGTGCCAAAGCATGTAGACTTAAGGAGCCGTGGGGTTTCCCGTGTTTTTGGCCATGAGATGAGAGGTGCTGGCATGGTCAGAGGCTAGATTGATGGGCAGAGGCCAGAGCAGGCAGGGCATGGCTCCTGCAGGGGCTTCAACATGAAAGTCGTAGTCTTCCCTCGTGAGCTCATGAAAAGTCTGAAGAAGAGAGGAAACACGTCACCTTTTATGATAGAGCGACAACGTTAGCAGTAGAGGGGAGCCTTGACCGAGAGAGGTGAGGCTGGAGTGAAGGAGGCCAGTCAGGCTGTCGCTGGACCTAAGCCGTGCAGAGGCGCGCCCGGTGGTTGGAGGCGAGGTGCCAGGAGACTGAGTCAGGGGGCTTTGGTCAGACTACCTGGCTGGGATGAGGGAGGGAGCAAGCTAGATGCCTTCAGGGTATCTGGCTTAGAGAGCAGATTTTCTGGGCCTGGGATGAAGAAAGAAGGAATGAATTTTGGCAGAAGATGGTGAATTCAGTTTGGCAGAAAATGCATTTAGAATTTGTATTTCCTTCTGTGTATATCTAGTAAGACATTCAGAAATGTGGACCTGAGGTTCAGGAAAGAGGCCTGACTACATACATACAGGTCAGGATTTGGAAGTGACCTGGGCTAGGTGTGACCTGGAGTAGGTGTGACCTGGAATAAGTGTGACCTAAAAACTTCGAGGCAGGTGTTGCTCATTTGAATCACGTGATAGAGCTGGAAACACCTTCACGTTATTGAGCCAGTCTTGGGTGTACAGGAAATGGGTCTTACCGGACAGTTTATAGAAATAAAAATAATTGGTTATAATGCCAGTGACTGTAGGTTCAGGATTTTCCAGAACAATACCATTTTCTGACATTCTGCCCGCTTTTCCTACAAACCATTTGAATGATGCAGCAATTAAAAAAAAAATTCAGCATCAATATTTCTTCTGTCACATTGCCTCAAAATAGACCACAAATTTTTCATTCAGTTTTGTTTTGTTTGTTTGCTCCTCACTTATCTAGAGTTCTATTGATCTTGTAAATAAGATTCATGCATTTGTTGAATAAACTGTGGAATATCAGCCACGTGCTAATAACCGAGTGTGTGGTAATTTGTAGTAATGAACAACACAGTGTACAATCTTCAGGGAGCCTGTAATCTCAAAGTGGGGGAGGCGGCATCAGTGGATGGTAAGCAAGTGAATACTTGCTGGTAATTAAAGGACTACAAAAACTAAATTTGAGATAAGGAGAAGGGGAGTATTGGGGTGTTACGTAGATGGGGTGATCCTGGATGGCTTTTCTGAGAAGCAGACGTTTGAGCAGAAGCCTGAGTGGAAGTGATGGAGGGAGCCACATGGGTGGGTGCCCAGGGGAACAGTGTTTGAAGCAGAGAGAACAGAGCACGTGCCAGGAATCTCAGGGAGGGCGCGGAGGCCAGGAGCCCGAGTGGCAGGTCCGAGGTGGGTGGCTTTGCTGGTTCTATGTGGTGCCCTTACCCTCGCTCCACGTTGAGCACAGCTGTGGTAACTCCAGGGCTCTGTGGGAGGGAGCCAGGAAGTCAGGTGGAGATGGGAAGGCCAAGAGGTTGCATGGGAGTCTGGTGGGTTCATTCCTGGGCTGGCAAGCGGCCTGTCCTGTGCAGGCAGCGGTGGGAGGTGAGCTGGGAGCCTGTGAGGAGGAGCTGGGATCCTTTCCTGTGGGGAAGCCATTTCCTGTCCACTCGAGACTATAATTAATGATGATAAATGAGGATTTGGAAGAACTCTTTTAGGTGACGAGCTCATGGAGAGTTAAAAAGGCTGGTTGTCCTCCTTTATCCTCTGCCGCTTCAATCTTTCCACTACTTCAAACACCTCCTTTGATCCCCTGCAGTCTTCATGGCTGTAAAACACCTGGAGTGGAAGGAGCATAGGGAGGCAGCGGGTGGGGGTCCGCGTCCGTGTTGTCACAGGGCATTTTTGTTTTAGCAGCTCATGCCCTGTGTGAGCGAGCCTCCATTTCCTCCTTTGTGAAATGAGAGGATGGACTAGGAAATCTTTAAAATCCTCTCCAGTTGTATTATTCTCTGCTGCTTATCTATCCAGGAGAACCAGCCATGGCATGAAAGTCAAGAATGATTGGTTTTCAATTGCTGACATTTCAGATAATGACAATAAAGTGACCCTTTTCTTCAGGGATTGGTAAATAAGACCCAACCGGTTCTGGAATATACCTCACCATTATGCAGTCCTTTGGACATCGGAAAGGTTTTATTGGCTCATTTCTATCCTGGTCTGCTTGTAGTCTGGGTGCATCGTTTTTATTTATTTTTTATTTTATTTTATTTAAAAAAAATTTTTAACCCTGTAACATTTGGCTAGGGGCATCTATGCAGTTTATGCCATAATTGTGGCAGCACCGCACCAGGCAGAGAAGAGTTGATTCAGGGTTTTAGAAAGATACTTGCAGAAGTAGCTGAAGTCAAATTTGACCCTGTCCCCAACCTCCTCACCCCCTCTGCACTTGCACACACACCACTCCTTCCTGGAGTCTGTTCCTCAGATTCCTGGTCTGCTGAACTGGACATATAGTCACACTGTGTGCCACTTACGGGCCAGGTTAAAGGCCTGTAGTCACACTGTGCACAGGGCCAGGTGACTCAAGGGCCAACAGCATAGGACAGAATTGCCTTTGTTCCTCTGATTGGTGGTGTAATAAAAATTGTACCTTTTCAGAAGCTCACACTAAGAACTGAACTTGGCCTTCAACCAAAAGGTGCTTATTCTCTGTTAAAATAAATTGCAGAGGTTTACCTATGTTATGAGCTTAAATTATATATGTGAAGATGGTAAAGAGAAACACCGTTTTAATAAAAAGCTTTCAGGGCACAAGCTAGTGAGAAGTACATGTTTTATCAGGCTGTTCTTTCAGGTAAAGAATAACTTTCATTTTTAGCCTGTTTCTTGCCTGACTGTCTCCCCTTCTCTCACAGTATGTAAGAAAAGAGGACTTTAAGATAGATTTTCCATATTGTGGGAATTTATTTCTGGGTAGCACAGAAGCATTTCATATCCACAGGAAAGTGTATTGCCAGATGGAATATTTGGTAGTATGAATCATTCCAGCTGAGAGAATAAGGTTGAGGGCTTGGGGGAAAATGGAGACACAAGAGGTAGAGAAGAAGTGAAAGGGGTGCAGTAATGGAAATCTTACAGAGCACAGGTGGGTAAGGCAAAGGTCTGCAGACAGAAAGAGGTGCCTATGAAGGGTCAATTCCACCTGATTATGGAAAGAAACATTGCTACATGAGGTTTCCTATTCCTCTCCTACTTCATTATCTGAATTTAAGCTGGTGCTAGAAATAGTCCAAACTTGTAGTAAATGAAGAGAAAACTTGCGGCAGATGTACTTGTAGTTTTAGCATTCAAAAGAACTGATTTCATAGAGGGGATTTTTTAACATGGAGGTCATATAGGTCAGTAACATAAATTTCCAGTGGGCAACATTATAAGTTGATATTCGTACACTGGCTTCCTCCCATTACCCATTAGAGCCTTTGTAACAGCTGGTCATTTCTGCAGGTTTTAACTAAGGCTGCTGCTGAGGGCGGAAGAATGTATCCTAAGTTCCCATTGTTTGAGTACTTGACCTACTCCTTGGGGATGGACTTTTCCTTGGCCTGCAATGGGAAGAGTTGTTTTCAAGGGGAAGGAAAGTGCCTCGTATTTCTTGAAGTGGGGAATATATAATACATTCTATCTGGGTTCAGTGCCTGGTGTCCTCTCCCCTAAGGCTTTCATTTTGTAGATTGAGTACATGAAAATTTTATTTGTATCAGAGAATGAACTACATTTAGAGTTAATTATGATTTAAGAAAATGGCCAAGTGTTCCTTAAGTTGGTTGCTCCCTTATAGCTTGGAGCATGTAACTCCACAGAGAATTTTAATGGCAACATGTTTACTTTGACCATTCCGGGAAATGGAAAAATAAATGCAGTAGCGATGCTTTGAATTTTGTGAAATTGATTAGAAAGGATATAAGTAGTGTTATGCTGTTGAAGGCATACCTTTTTTTCTGTCTTTTATTTAAGGAAACTTGCTTATGGTATAGTGGATATTGCAGGTGCTAGAAAAAGTTACTTAATTTGCTGCATAGGTATTTGCAGGATCTTAACCTTAGTCATAGTTTAATGATGTGTATGTGTCTGCCCTGCCACATGTTTAATCTTGAGCTTGCATGAAGCATGAAAAGTTTAGAAATGTAAAGTTGACTTAACACCTGAATGTTGAAAAGGTATCACAGATTGCTTTATACATATCTTAATCTTACTAATATATTAACCTGGGCAAAGTAACCCAGGCTCTTTTGGGAATCTGGACGTGTATAAAAACTGTCATGTTAGGTGTAAAAGGGCAGTGTTTTCTTGTGTGTGTGTGTGTTTTTTTTTTAAAGATTTTTATTGGGGAATTGGGGGAAAGGGAATAGACAAGTTGCTGTTGTTTTGTTCTTCAGTTTAGTTGTAGAGAACGTTGCTTCACTGGCCTAAGTTGGCACCATCATTGCGCTCTTCCCAGGCGAGGCGGATCAGTCGCCGGCTTCTGGACGGCCGCTCACGTTGGCTGCTGGCCGCTCACGCTGGCTGCTGGCTACACACGGTAGCCCATGGCAACCCACTGCCACAGGGGCTGCAGCCTACGCTGTCGCCGGCGACTCACGGCAGCCCAGCTCCAGGTTGAACTGTTGTTCAGCATCTTAGCTGTGGAGGGCAGTGTCACTGGCCCTCATGTGGGATCCGAACCGGGGTCCTCTGGCGTCCCAAGCCAGTTCTTAACCATCGCGCCACTCGGCCGGCCCGTTTTCTTGTGTTTTTAAAGTTCATGGTGTTAGCATTTTGTCTTTTAAATAAGATGAGAATATATTTTGAATGGTTAGATAAGGTACATAAATGATGGTTAGAAAAGGTACATAAATGTACTTTTAAGTCGTTTTGCTCAGGTATTGATTTGTGTAACCTGTTTTCTGTGAGATTAAACACACAGGTACTCAGGTTTACTGTCACTCAGGCCTTTTTGCACGTCAGCGGCTGAAACGCCCTGCTCAGAACTTGAGTTTTCTTGGCAGCTGATCCAGTCCCCTGTGACGACCCCCCTTGGGCTGATCATGTTGAAAACTACTTCCGAAGAGCTGGCCTGTCCCCGCGAGGACCTCAGTGTGGCTCGCAAGGAGGAGCTGCGGAAGCTGCTGCTGGACCAGGTGCAGACAGTGCTGGGGCTCCTGACAGGTGAGCAGTGGGCGGGTGCAGCCTGGGGCCTGTGGTTCCCGCCCGAGCTGGGCTCAGAGCTCCTGAGCGGTGGTGCGAGCTGCTGCCCAGCCTGAGTGTGAAAACAGGAAGAATGTGCTGCTGTGTTTCCAGCACTAGCCCAGTGCCCAGCACTGGTGGGGCCTCCAGTGTGTTTGTCACTGATAGTCTTCCCTCCATTAATTGGTCCTCACTGTTGTTGTGCTTAATGAGGTATAGACTAGGTCATGGGAATGTGATTGAAATGCTGATACCTGCCTGCTAAGTAAGCTGTGTTTAGAGCGATTTGAATTTAAGATCAGGAGAAGTTGGAGGAGGAGGAAGATAGGAACATTTCAGAGTCTGTGTAGGGCAGTGAGGCAGGGTGTGGAGTCGGCTCCCTGCGCCAGGTTGTGTGTAGCATTTTATCATCCTGTCTGTTTTATTAGAGCCCCATGACAGTGTGTGAAGAAGAAGAATAAACAGAACACAGACCACAGAATAAGACAGTGAGGTAGGAAGAGAGAGTAGTGAGCACCCTGAGGCACGAGGCCGTGACCACTGTGTGGCCGGCTTGTTGGGAGGCGCAGGTGGGCAGGTGGTGCCGTCCACCCGTCCTTCCTGAAATCCCTAGGGGGAAGCCCAACCCTCAGAGCATTTATTCATCCCGAGCACTTACTGACGTCCCCAACTAGATGGAGGTGAAAGTTCTGGAGTCACGGACCATGTCTGATACCTCTGTGTCCTACTGTGTGAACATAAAATTTTCCTAAACAGATATAATTTACATATCATAAAACACCATTTTAAAGAAAAACTCAGTGGTTCTGAATATTCACAAGGTGTGCAACTGTCACACACTCTTAATTCCAGAACATTTTCAGTGCCCCTCCACCCCAACCCTGGCAACTATTAATCTACTATCTGTCTCTGGATTTTTCCATTTGGACTTTTCATAAAGATGAAACCATACAGTATGTGACCTTTTCTGTCTGGCTTCTTTTACTTAGCATGATATTTTCAAGGCTTATTTATGCTGGACTATTAAATATTTTGAGAAAATATTTTTAAAAGCTGTTATGATTCTCTTATGTGCCAGGTTCTGTAAGGAGATATGAAGAGGAATGAAACAGTGTCTGCCCTCTAGTATGGGAGAAAGACAGTTTAAAACAGTGTGTTAAGAATGACAGCTTTATGTGTGGGCAAAACCTAACCAGCAAGACTTCCTGAAGGAGGGGACAGCTGAGTGGACTTCTGAGGGCCAGACATGTGTGAAGGTCAAGTTGGGATACAGAGGGAGAAGAGCAGGTCAGAGGGTGAGAACGAGAAGGACACATGTGGAAGGAACAGCACGCGGTTCAGCATGGTGAAGCCCTGTGTGTGGAGTGGGGCTGAGGCCTGGATTGTGGGGTGGTGCTGTTTATGTGAGGAACCTACCTAAGGGGATGGGACCTAAGGGGATTTGCCACAGGCTTGTGGAGAAGTTGCACTGAGTTTGGAATATCCAAGAAGCAGTTAGACATACGGTTCAGAGTGGGATGCTCAGACACTGATATTTGATCAAAGAGAGCAATAAATTGTTTTTCTGTATTTGATTTACATGTTGGACTTTATTTCTCTCTTAAACTCAGTTTCTCCTTCTCGGTGTAGGTATCTTGGAGACCGTCTGGGATAAGCACAGCGTTACGGCCGCCACCCCGCCACCATCCCCGACCTCAGGAGAAAGTGGTATGCCCCCCCTTTCCACACACACACACACACACGCACGCGCGCGCGGTTCCCCTTTGAAGTGTAGTCCAGGGTCCCAGCAGCATAGCACTTGCTCATTTACCCGATGCCAATTCTTCCTTAATCTGTTTTGCCTATGTCTTCTGAGTAGCTAACTTTCTTAGTTCCTCATAAGTGCTCATGCTTTCTGATAGAGTATTTTGAGCAACATAGCTTGTTTCTTCCTTACCCACTGGGAAGGTGGCACCTGTCATCCACTTCCTGCTGACCCTCCTGCTGTGTTTTTCCCTTTTTCTCAGTTTTCAATGCTGAGATTGGTCTGAGCCTGTGGACTTGGCTGGTTTGCTTTGTGGTTATGCAGGCGTGACTTGAGGGTGGGTGGCAGCCTGCGGGAGGGCGCAGGGGAACGTGGATGCTTTTTTCTTGGGCTCAGGGAGAAGTCCTGTTGGCCTGGACACATGGAAAACCAGTGTGTAGTAATGAGCTTTGCCTTTACATCAGTCCAGAATAATCTGATAAAGCACGGGCGGTCAAATTAAATACTTTACTGCTTGCGAATTATTGTCTGCCGTTACATTAATATCTGTTTCGGAAGTCAGAGTGCAGTTCACCTAAAAATGGCTACTTTTAAGGATGATCGGAAAGGGGAAATTGGTCTGAGCAGGAACTTTTAGTTTCTAAATGCTTCAGTTTACACTCACTGATCACACATGCTTTTTAAGTAGAGCACGTCCTGTGAATTGGCACACACTTCCTCTACTGTAAAGGCTGATGTGGTGCATGAGAAATATCTCCACATCTTTCTCCTTTACCCCAAGGAAACAGGCTGTTGAAATCAGACATCTCTCAGCTCAAACTGTTTCAGGTAGCCTGTCGGTAATGTGTGGAAATGGATATTCAGTTGCTGGAGAATTGAACATCTGTGAAGTTTTGGGGGCTGCTCATAGTATACTTATTCATTCCAAATTCCACTTAACCAAACTTGGAATACAAACTACTCGAGTCATTTGTGATTACTTCTTGGATTGAAAGCTATTACAGAGGTCCAGAGTATATTAAAAGCCCACAGAAAATTGAACTTTGTTCTTGGTAGCAAACCTTTATTTTCAAGGTGGATATTCAGAGGTGACTTAGCAGATTTATATTGTGCAATATTTGAACGATTAAAGAAAAATTTGCAAGTGATGTAGAGATTGATTTTTATGAGTGTACTCCTTGGAATTTCCTGCAGCTTGGCTGATCTTAAATGTGTCATTTTATTTAAATAAGAGTTTGCAATTATTGGTTTTGTTTTGTTTTTGAATTTGATTTGTTTTGAACTAGTTGAACAGTAAGTTAGCATCCAGTTTAAGTTGGCAGCAGTTGACTCAGTAAAAGGTGCTTTTCTGGGATGATTTTCCACTACCCAAAGATGTGTGTTTTAGTGGCTTCGTTCAGGTCTGTGTTCTGAACTAATAACTCAGTTTATGCTTTGATAGATGTATTTTCCTGGAGGACAGGTTGGGGAACATCAGATAATACAAATAAAAAATGTATGCTTGCTCTTTTACACGTCATCTAGGTTTTGATTATGAGGTTAGGTGAAATAAAATATGAATTAATTTGACATTTCCACATACATAAAACCCAAAACTACGTGGCATGCTTCTTGAGAATTGCCTCTTAGACACTCGTCAAAACTTTGGAAGCCTTGAATTTTAGTATTTGAGAAAAGCAAAATAAGTAGAGACGGGGGTTGGGAGGTAGGACTGGGGAGTTAAGTAAACTTTTAAGCTGGTAATGCTTCCTCTTTAAAAAACAGAATTGCATGTTCACTTGTTAACGCCTTTTTCTCTCTGACAGTTATGAGTGAAGTCATGAGATCTTGCTTCACTATTTAGGCAGCACTGATGATTTAATTGTTTCTTTTTTTTTTTTTAAAGATTTTATTGGGGAGTTGGGGGAGAGGAACAGCACTGGGGAATTGGGGGAAGGGGAACAGACAAGTTGCTGTCCTTTTGTTCTTCAGTCTAGTTGTGGAGGACATAGTTTCAATGGCCAATGTTAGTATTATTGCGCTCTTCCTGGATAAGGCAGATTGGTCGCCGGCCTCTGGACGGCCGCTCACAGCAGCTCTTGGCAGCTCACACAGGCTGCTGGCCACTCAACGGCAGCTTATGGCAGCCCACTGCAGCAGGGGCTGCAGCCTACGCCGTCGCCGGCGACTCACGGCAGCCCAGCTCCAGGTGGAGCTGTTATTCACCATCTTAGCTGTAGACGGCAGTGTCACTGGCCCCCATGTGGGATCCGAACCAGGGCCCTGCTGCTCGGAGCTGGCGTCCCCAAGCCAGCCGTTAACCAACGCGCCCCTCGGCCGGCCCTAATCGTTTCTTTTGATGCTTTTATGCTCAATGGCTTTTGTGAACTTAACACACCAAGTTAAGCAGCAAAACTTCTAGAAAATTGTCTAGCTTTCTTGACCATAAGCTTAGTTTTATGGAAGAAGTTCATTCTGAGAAACCGTAGGGCCCCGTGAGTAACCGAGGAATTCCTACACACCGCCCTTCAGCAGCCCCTGCTGGGCTCTCATTTCCCTGCCCGAATCCCTGGGCAGCTCCCGGCAGACAGGCCTGGGGGCCTTGGTCTCCTTTCTCAGCCTCTGTCTTGTTTGTGTTCTATCTGATCTCTTTCAAAGAACAAAGCCCAGGGACTAGTTCCTGCAACAACTACTGTAACAGTCCTTCGGTACAGAAAAAGTCTTCAAGGGATTGTGTGGTTTCTGTCTCAGACTAGTTCCTCAAATTGTTGCCTTATCTCTCCTAAACACCCCTCACCAGGCCAGCGTCCTGTGAAGGAGATGATGGTTTTATGTCTCGTTTACAAACAAGGAACCTGGGGCTCATGGGGAGTCCGTAAGTCGCCAGAGGCCCCATTCCCAGTAAGGGGTGGACCAGGGATGCGACCCCATCATCCTGGTTAGGTGCCCTGTCCTAAGTTGTCCTAAGTGGGCTCTCCTGGTCACTGTCACCACTTCTGGCCTCCTCCTTGTCCTGCTTTGGAGTCCTGGCTCTGCCTCACTGTGTACCTTCTCTGACCATTGATGTCCTCAGCTGTCCTCTGAGAATGAAATGAGGGAAGATGTGGCTGTGTCCCCTGCCTGCTGTGGCTGTTGCTGTTGTCTGCACGTGCGCAGCCTCAGCCCTCTTAGTCTCCTCTGGTCTTCATTTTGCTCAGACAAATGGACAAAATGAAATTCTGCATATAAATAAATGCTGCAATTCTGAGTTAACTGTAATTGTTTTACAGTAAAATTTTCTCGTCCATCCGGCGTGTCGTTTCAGATACAGATCTGTGCGTGCAGTGGTGATGGAAGATTTTCAGGGTGCAGACAGCTTGGATGGATTGAGAACAATTTATACCTTCCGGTTTTTTTCTTAGACTCTTTCCAAATTACATATCTTTGTGCACTTGCAAGTGTTTTCCCATATTGCTTTATAAGCTACTTAGAGAAAGGTGGGACTTGGGAGGGTCACTCACAGCTCCTAGGATCTTGCTTTCTCCCCCTGTGGGCACGTTGAATAGTTTCCCCCATTTTACTGCACTGAGGCTGCAGTTAAGTCAGTGCTTCTCACCTGGGGCGACTGCGCCTGCAGAGCGTCTGGCGATGCGGAGGGGTTCCTTCGGTTACAGCAACTGGAGGAGAGAGTGCTACTGGCATCGGACGAGTGAAGGCAGGGGTGCTGCTATATACCCTTAAGCGCCCAGAACAACAGGGATTATTACCCAGCCCCAAATGCTGAGGCTGGGGTACTCGGAGTCAGTAAATGTAGAACCCAATAGAAAACAGAAAATTTCAATAATTCAAAAAAGAAAAAGAACCAAGGGGATCTTTGCACGAAAGCTCATTATAGGTGTTGCAACCACACGTCTGAGTTGCTCCCAGGTCAGTAATGCCCCAGAGTTGCCCCACACCTCTTGGGGCATGGGGTGCATGTTGCTGCCAGGGCCCGGCCCAGGTCAGGGAGCATGACTTCACCCACTCACAGGTGCCCTCTGACCCAGGTAGCTGGTTAAAGCTCGCTCAGGATTTGCATTGGAAATGCCACAGCATGAAACAGAGTCCGTCGTGTGGTGATCGCTTCCACTTTGATTAAAATACAGTTTTTGAAAAACTCTTTTGTAATCTACGATAATACCTCGAAACATTTAAAGTAGAGTAAAGTCACCTTTATTGAGAAACAGTGTTAAAAGATTCCTGTTTTGAGGAAAAAACTCATAGGTCATCCTGTCCAGCTCAGTAATTTTTACCTTTGCCTGATCCCGTCCGGTCTTTGTCCTTCTGTTTTTCTGTAGTTGAGGTCACAGTGTCCACGTGCCATTTTACATGTGATGTTAGATCATCCAGCTTTTCCTCGATTTGCACCTGAACTTTCCTACTGATTTTTTTTCCTGGTTACGTACTCTCTTCAGATGACCCGCCTTCTGGGTGGAGCGTAGGCTTTGGGGTTTGTTTCAGCTCCCCTCTGACCAGCTGCGGAATAAGGGGGACGCCTTGTCCTTCTGTGTCAGTTACTCTGACCGGCTGTAAACACAGCTCTGAGGTAGTACCCACCTCAGAGCTGTGAGCATTAGGTCAGCATATGTGTGTGAAGCGCTCAGTGCAGCGCCTGGCACACGGTAACAGCATGGCGTTACTGTCGACATTGTTCTCCTTCAACATTCCCATCCTGCGAAAACTCTTCTCAGCCAAGCAGTGGGGACTTCTCTGGTTTTTGTTTTTAAAGCCAGAGTTTATTTCTATTTAAAAATGTTCAAGAGGCTTTTAAAAAGGTCCATGGGCCCAAAGATGTCTGGTTTTAATATAAGATTATACTGAGGTGGTGTCTGTTGGTTCCTCCATTGCTAAAGCCTCAGCGTGATCCTGGGTAAGCATACACCCCACGAATGCTAGTTGGCTGGGGGAGGTTTCTTCTGACTCCTCCATCTTTCCTAAGTGGCCACCAGCCCACGGATGATGAACAAAGTCATACCAGAAATAGTCAGTGTCACTGAAAGAGAAAGTGGTATGACTCACATGGAAAGCCACCACAGCGATTCCAAAAATCAGAAGCATCAGTCCAGTGCAAACAAACCGAAACGTTTGCAGATCCTACTGGAATGTACGTCTCCCTTTATATTTTGTAGCCAGGTTCTCTGACTGTCATCTCGGGTAGCTGAGGTCGTGAGTCTCATCGGGTGTTACACACACCTCTTTCACAACAGAAACCAGCAAACATGCTTCCAGATAAAATGCCAAGGGACAGCTTTTAATCTGTTTCTAACAATGGAAATTAACTTCTGTATTATTAATAATAAGTCACAAAATCCTCATTTTAATGGCTGAGGAGATTGAGGCTGAGAAAGGTTAACAAATTTGTTCAGATTCATCCAACTTTAGTGGAAGGCAACAGTTCTCAGTAGGTCTGGGGACCCCTAGTGGTCCCCCAAACCCTTTCAGGGGTCCCAAAGGTCAAATAGGTGTTTATAAAAATACTAAGACATTGTTTGTCACTTTTAATCTCATTCTCTCATGAGTATACCGAATAGCAGTTAATTTTGAAGACATGACTACGCATCACATTTTAACATTACATTAAAGAATAGTTACTGTTAGGTGGAAAAACCACTAAAACACTTTTTCTGTCAGTTGTATATCTAGGCGAAGCTGGGTTTTCTTCATATGCTTCAATGAAAATAATATTGCAACAGCTTGAATGCAGAAACTGATGAGAGAATCAATCTACCTTTTAATTTTAAGCCAGACATTAAAGAGATGTCCAGAAATGTAAAAACTGTGCTACTCTTCTCACTAATTTGGGGGAAGCAAATCATAGCCTTTTCATTGAAAATAAGTTATTTATGCTAATATGTAATAGGTTTATTGTTGTTAAATGAATTAAATTGAAAACTTCTCAGTTTTAATTTCGAATATGACAAATACCAATAGAAATAACCTGCATAAACAAAAGCTCTTTGTCATCTTCAGTAATTTTTTAGAACATTAAAGGGGTTCTGAGACCCAAACATTTGAGAACTGTTAAGGTACAAAATAAAATAAAAATTTACCCAGTGTTCAACCGTACAAAAATGACATCATTCCAGTTATCTCTCTATACACAGATACAGATAAGAGAGATAAAACTGAATGAAAAGACAAAATGGCATTGTATCGTAGTTTTATTTTTATTTTATTTATTATTTATTTTTTATTTTTTTTTAATATTTTTATTGGGGAATTGGGGGGTTGGGAACAGTGCTGGGGAATTGGGGGAAGGGGAACAGACAAGTTGCTGTTGTTTTGTTCTTCAGTCTAGTTGTGGAGGACGTTGCTTCACTGGCCCAAGTTGGCACCATCATTGCGCCCTTCCCGGGCGAGGCAGATCAGTCGCCGGCTTCTGGACGGCCACTCACTGCGGCTGCTAGCTGCTCACGCTGGCTGCTGGCTGCTCATGCTGGCTGCTGGCTACACACAGTAGCCCATGGCAACCCACTGCCACAGGGGCTGCAGCCTACGCCGTCGCCGGCGACTCACGGCAGCCCAGCTCCAGGTTGAGCTGTTGTTCAGCATCTTAGCTGTGGAGGGCAGTGTCACTGGCCCTCAGATGTGGGATCTGAACTGGGGCCCTCTGGCATCCCAAGCCAGTTCTTAACCATTGCTCCACTCGGCTGGCCCATCGTAGTTTTATTTTTAATAAAAATAAATTTTTGTTTTACTTGGATTTAACAAAAGGAATTAAATGGAAGGAATTGCTGACCTTGAGATGCTTTTCCCACAAAGAATATTAGTTTGTAAAAGGAGCCTCTAAGGTTAAGAAAAAAAGGTTATGAAAACCAATTTCTTGCTACATATTTGAATTTTAGAACGTATATTTAGAGACTTCTTGCTGGTGAAGATGAGACAGTGCATTACTGACCTGGAAGTCCTATGTTTGTTTGGTCTCGATTCTATATTCAATGCTTGCATCAGTCCCTTTCCATAGCTTCTCCATTCCTTAATTTTTTACTTTTATGTATTGCTTTATTTGCATGGTTTCATTGTTCAGTATCCTCCTTAGGAAGAATTTGTGAGCAATGTTATTTGAGTGTTTGCACATTTGAGGAAATGCCACCTTTACACTCACAGGAGAGCTTTGGGTTAAGTCAGTTTTGCCCTGGAACTTGGAGAGGCTGCATTACTGTTTCTGGCTTGGAGGGGTCTGAAATCGGCGTTTTCTCCACTGTATTTGTGCTTTTCTGCCTACATTTCTTCCTTATTCTTTATCATTTTTTGAGTAAGTCCTTTTATTTTGTATAGTCACATCTTTACTTCAGGGAAATTTTCTCCTTGTTAGTTTTGAATATTTTTCGTGTTTTGTCTTTTCTGAAATCATTTTTTAGGCCCCCCCCACCCCACCATTTCATTCTACATGATTTCCTTGTCCAGTGCTTCTCAAAAACTAAGCAAGCTTAAGAATCACCCAGAGAGCTTGTAAAATGCAGATTCCTGGCCCTGCCTCTCCTGGGTCCACTTTAGTAGGTGTTGGGGGACGGGGTCTGATAATCTGTGTTTCTGACAAGCCCACGGTGGTGCCTGTAGCGCAGGCCCACACACCTCACCTTGTCTAGCCCAGCAATTAGTTCTCAAATTTTTGGTCTCTGGGCCCCTTTACTCTTTTTTTAAAAAACTCGAGATGTAATTGGCATATAACACGGTGTTAGTTGTAGATGTGGAACATAATGATTTGATTGATATATGTGTATACTGTGAAATGATCACCACAATAAGCTTAGTTAACATCCGTCACCACACAAAGTTACAAATTTTTTTCTCTTGAGATGAGAACTTTTAAGATCTGCTCTCTTAGCAGCTTTCAGATATATTGTTAACTGTATTCACCGTGCTAGAGGTGCCATCCCCAGGACTTACTTTGCTTGTAGCTGGAAGTTGGTACCTTTGGACCTCCGTCACCCATTTTGCCCACCCTCACCCAGGACTCTTAAATAAAAATCATTGAGGTCTTCAAAGACTTTTGTGGGTTATATCTATTGATATTAAAACCAAGAAAATTTATAAATATTTATTCATTTAAAAATAACTGTGATGAACTCATTATATATAAGCATATTTTAGTGAAAAATAACTGTTTTCCAAAGCAAATAAAAGCATTTACTGAGAAGAGCGACATTATTTTACGTCTTTGCAAATCTCTAATAGGTGGCTTAATGAAAGCTTTTTGCTTTCTCTCGTTGGATAGCACATGTCATGTAGCCTCTGGAAAGCTCTATTGTACACTTGTGAGACAGTAAAAGTGAGAAAGGAAAATAGCATTATATCATTCTTTTAAAAAATAGTTTTGAATTTGTGAACTCCTGAAGAGTCTTGGACCAAAGTGTGAGAACTGCTACTTAACAGTAGCAGTGGGTTTGTCAGAGGTCTGATGGTGCGGATCTTAGAAGCCCTTTGTGTTTCCAGGTGACTTACTGAGTAACCTGCTGCAGAGCCCTAGTTCAGCCAAACTGCTGAGTCAGCCCATCCCCATCCTCGATGCGGACAGTGAGTATGTCTGTTCCCTGGCCCTGGAGTGCCTGGCCCACCTCTTCAGTTGGATTCCTCTGTCTGCCAGCATCACCCCGTCCCTCCTCACCACCATCTTCCACTTTGCGCGCTTTGGCTGTGACATCCGGGCCAGAAAGATGACGTCAGTGAATGGCAGCAGCCAGAACTGTGTGTTGGGTCAGGAGCGCGGCCGGCTCGGGGTCCTGGCCATGTCCTGCATCAATGAACTCATGTCCAAGAACTGCGTGCCTATGGAATTCGAGGAGTACCTGCTGCGGATGTTTCAGCAGACTTTCTACCTCCTGCAGAAAATCACCAAGGATAACAATGCCCACACGGTGAAGAGCAGGCTAGAAGAGCTCGATGAGAGGTAATGAAAACAGGCGTGGCACTGGCTGTGCCCTGAGAAAGGGCCAGGGCCAGGTATCGGGGGGCTGCATGGCGTCTGTAACCCTCTTTGGTTTCAGAATGTGGGCTTCTGATGAGGATGGAAAGGTAGGTGTGTACAGTAAGTCCCAGCTTAGCTGGAAGGGCTCGGGTGGTGAGGGGAAATGAGGTGAGTCTGCACAGTGACTGTGAATTGTGTAGGTTTGTTGTCTCTCCCCCTCCCCCCGACCTGCTGTCCCCCCCTTCCCCCCTCACTATTTGCCTGCAGGTCTGATGTGGTGCAGGAGCTGAGACTCTGCTCATGCGTAGCCAAGACCAGGAGAGGAGGTCGCTGAGGTACAGGAGTTACAGTCACCCTTTCTCACTTGGTGTGGCTTGTCAGTTGTTACTATTTGACTTTCCCCAAGTGAACATCAGGCAGCCTATGGGAATGTCATTGCTGTTGTAAGTTTTACACAGATGGCAAGTTTGCATCAGAAGAAAGGAGCGAGTGTTAACGTGGGCACAGGTTAATTAGTGTGGCGCACACCTGCGTCTTTGTCATTGTCCTTTTGAGTGGATCCTAAAGCCACCTAGCCTTTCTTTCTGAAGTGCTCTAGATGATGACTCCCATCACAGTGCCCGAGGCACCTGGTCTCGTTATTTTCCTCGCAGATGATGTCAGTTACCTGGGTTACAACCTTCATTCATATGATGCTACTGCGGGGTAAAAATGAGAGAAAATTGGAAACTTACATTAACAACATCACGTTGACTGCAAATTTCCAAGCAGATAAATTGTATTGAATTCATAAATGTGTATAGATTGCCTGGCAGCCAACGTTAGTATTTTAATAAATTTTCCTGGGCTTGTTTTTGTTATTAAGCTATATAGAGTGAAGTCATTTCCTTTTCCTTAGAGTAAATTGCAGAATGTAAAATCAAGTGCCTAAAGATAAGATAGTTTTGGTGCCTTTTAAATTTAGCAATTTTAATAAGTTTCTAAGGTTAAAAATATTGGTATATAAGATGATGTTGGTTTGCTTCATTATAAACAAGCTCTGTGTAAAATTTTCTCTGTATGGTCACAAAAGAACTCATAATTCAGTGTGGTAATGTGTTTTCTTTTTCATTATTGGGTAATAGCTTCCTCTATGAATTCAAAAGCAGCAGTATTCAAACACAAAAAAATTTATATTCTTTCTACTTTGGTTAAGAAAGGTTGTATTTTTGTATGTTTAAAAAAAACCTCGCTGCTTGTACCGATCATCAGATATCAGCTGTTTTGACTTTTACTTGGAGCATAATGTGTGTTACGGCTTACCTTTGGGTGGTATAGAAACGTCATGGGTTATCTCTGTACTGACTGTGTTACGTGTAACTTTTGTGCTCTTGGTTTTATATTTTAATCCTATGCTTCCTATTGCCCCGTGAAAGCTGAGAGGTGCCTGGGAGCAGAAAGGTGACATAAACAGTATACTGTGTGCTTGCTTCCTGCCTCTCGGGTCCCTTACCACTAATTCTAAGCAGCTAAGGCCACCCTCGGTTGTTTAGGAGCTTCCTAACCAGGCCCTTGGCTTCTCCTCTCCTCCTCCACTGCCTTTTTCCTAACTTTCTACTGCTCATTAGCACCTGTACCAGAAGGTGGGCAAGGGAAAGAAAATGAGGTGAAATAAACCTGTAGTTTTAGCTCCTGAACGGCCTTGTTGGTGTTCTTTCCAAAATTGGGTTGGAGATGAAAATAAAATTGAGATTGTGCGACATTTTACCCTCGACTTCTCTGTGTTCTTTTATGGGTGGGAGGGAGTTGAGTGCATCTCTAAAGAGCAGCGACTAGTTGGCGACTCTGCAAATCCATGGGAAAATGTGATGTAACAAGCTGAGCCTCGTAACTGTCAGCGATGGAGGGCATCAGAGAGAAGTCCCTTTGTACTTTTCGAGCTCTGAAAACGGTTGATTTCAGTGCCTTACTGGGTTTCAAGGATTTGGCTGGCCCCATGATCCTTATCAAACATGTTAATGGTTTTTTTTGTTTTTAAGCTGCAAATAAGTTTACACATGTGTGGAGGTCAGGCTGACGGGTTGGCCCCCGTCAGCGCCATCGGTCCCAGGAGCCATGGGACATTTTATTTATGGGCCAGTTCAGCTCCTCTGAGTCGCAGCCTTCCTCTCTCCCTTCATTATTTCATATATCTGTGCTTTCAAAAATAGTTTTTTGCAGTTACGAGTTTCAGAATTGGTTTTAGCCATTATTTAATTTTTGGCTAAGGCCTGTATGTTTTTGCTTTTTTTTGTTTGGTTTCAAATGTGATTTATGGAGATATGTCCATCTCATTTTCTATCACCTTTTGGTATTTAGGGGCTTCAAATGACAGTGTCTGAAATGTGAGAGTGGTGATGTGCTGTGTATTTAATAGCCAAAAATCTCTTATCCTTGGGCTGTGACCCACACTTATTTTTCTGAATACAAACGAATTGGGGATTCACTGTGCTGTGAAAAGTAAGCGCCCTGGATTGGGAGTGGATGGTGGTCCCGTTCGGCCAGGAGCTGGCCGAGTGACCTTGGACCGGTCACTTTCCCGCTCTGGGCCTCGCCTGTAAAATGAAGCATCGATAAATTGTCCTGAGGCTTGTCTAGCTCCAACAGCTTTCCTCCCTGATATTTGAAATCACTTTGGAGTGGATTGGGATGTGTGGTGTTTAATTAACGGACAAGCCTGATCATCTTACAGGGACACCATCCATGTCTTTTGGACAGCCTGGTTTGGTTCTTGTGTTTTTAACCCCATGCATTTTAATGTTTTGGCCTCCTAGCCAAGAAAGCCAGCCTCCCAGACTGGCCACATTGAAATGACACGCGTGATCTGCTCCCCGACTTTTTGGCACCGTTCCCCTTCACTTTCATTGGGTCATAACACTAATGAGATAGGAAGTCTGAGCGCACTAGCTTTATAAGATGCCTTCATGTGTGGTGTCTGAGGATTAAAGTTGCTTTTCTGCTATGTTTCAGGTGGTAAAGGAATGAAGGGTTGCCTGACCTGTAGGTAATTGTTGCAGGCCTTTATATTTTTCACTGAAAATGTAAATCTGTACTGACAGCAATTTGGATTGAATTTGAGTTCCCTCCCAAGGCAGTAGCCTGGCTTCTCATAGTCGCCTTTGTCTCTCTGTCTCTTTAGCTACATCGAGAAGTTCACGGACTTCCTGCGGCTCTTCGTGAGCGTTCACCTGCGGAGGATTGAGTCCTACTCCCAGTTTCCCGTGGTGGAGTTTTTGACGCTTTTGTTCAAATACACATTTCACCAGGTAAAGCACAGAACGGCCAAGCACTTCCTCCCCAAGCAGGCTCTCTTGTTAGCTTCAGGAGGAAGAATTACAGTAATGCCTTGGTTTGTGAGCATAATTCGTTCCGGAACCAAACTACCAGTACTCATATTGCAAGACATCGCTCGTTTACTACGTTAAAATGTACTAAAAATGTTTGCTCGTCTTGTGGAACACTCACAAACCACGTTACTCGCAATCCAAGGTTTTACTGTACTTTGTTTCCCAGATATTTATGTAGTGTGTACTGTGTGAAGATTGACACATTTAACCTTCAAAACAGCCTTGCGAGGTAGGTGGCATTGTCATCATCACTGTTGTCTCCATTTTACAGACAAAGAAACTGAGGCCCAGAGAGTAACTTGCTCAGGGTTGTACAGTTGGTAACCAGTGGGGCCAGGATTTGAACCCATGGAGTCTGTGCTCTTATTTACTGTTATGTTGGAGAAGCAAAACAGAGGAGAAGTCTGAACTGAGGCTTCTAGTTCTGTAACTGTCACTGGAACTTCCCAGAAGGAGGTTAGAGCGAAGCTGTCAGAGCTGAGTTTCGGTGGATCCAGGATTTTCCCCCATTCACCAAATAGCTTTGGAACTCCTGTTATATCCCAGGAGCCGGGCATCTAACCCTCAAAGTCCTTGCCGCCACTGAGTCTACACTCTAGGGAATCCAAAAAGTAAATCTGAATACAGGTTCATTTTTAAAATGGGTCTGAGACTACATTTCCTGGCTACGCCAGTCGAGTGCCAGCCACCACTACCCATCTGATGTCCACGTGGCATATTCATTGCTTTTTCTGCTTATTCTGCTTCATTTCATCTCCTGGACATCCTGGAGTTTGCAGAGTACGAAGTGGAGACAGGACACGGCCGTTTTGTTGTCTGAGGGTGGCCCTGTCAGTGGTCCTGACTGAGTGGCAGCTGTCTGGCTCCAGGGCTGCTCTGCGGACTGTGAGCTTGGAATCTGCCCGTTCTCTGAGTAACAGGCTTCTGTCTCAGAATCAGTCTGGGCACAGAGCTCCCACATCATGCCACCACCTAATGTTAGGTACCCTTTGGGCAAACTCAGTACATGCCCTTGTGAACTGGATTTCCTTATGGATCAGAAATGGGAGGAAAACTGACCCCAAAAGACGATGGTATTATTTCTTTCCAGTCTGATCCTGCCACCAGTTACGTGCCTCAGTGAAGCAATCAGAAATAAAACCAAAGAGTTCTTGCAGGTTCATGAATTTGAGTGGATGTGTAAGGGGCTGGGGGACCACAAGTCGAAACTGAATGTGTATGAGAAGGACTAGGTGTTGGAGAGCTTAACGCTTGGGTTTTGCGTAAAATAGAATCTCCAGGCTCTGAAACTGGTCATTACAGTGGCCCGGCACTAGGACCCTGCAGACACTTCCTCCTCTCTCCTTCCTCTGTCCTTACCAGCACCAGGTTAAAGTTTGCTGTTAGCCTGTTGCACACCGACTTGTGCAGACGAGATAATGCCCAAGGGTCAGAATTTACAAGCTCAATGTCAGTCTGTTCCATAGTAAGGTGGCAAGTGTCACTTTCCTACTGTTCAGATGTGTCCATCTGGCACCTTTGGAGCCACCGAAACTTATTTTTGATTTTCTGATGGTTTGCAGTGGAAAGAGCATTAGCTGGGGATAAAGGGGCCTGCTCCTCCCCTGACCTTGAGTAAATCTTGTCTCTGGACCTCACTTCCTTTCTCTGTAAAATAGATTTGAAGTGGATGATGTGTAAGAGCCCTCCCTCCTCAGCACAGTCTCCGATTTAAGCTAGGTGTTCGCTGGGCTTATTTGTAACCCAGTATGTCCTGCGTAGTATCTCCCTAATGATGTTTTCCATGGAACCCTTGTCCTGTGAGGCTCAATGGGGTCCGATTGTGAACACTCACCATAAGACACCAGTTGTGGTTACTGGGGCTCCCAGGGCATCTTGGCTTATAGTTGTAACTTTCTGGTGGAAGTAAACCAGTGGGTGTGTTTCTCAGGAGTGTTTGCGTTAAGTAATTGTATTGTCTGGGTTTCTTTTGCACCCCAGCCTACTCATGAAGGTTACTTCTCTTGCTTGGATATCTGGACGCTCTTTCTGGACTATCTGACAAGTAAAATTAAAAGTCGTCTGGGAGACAAGGAAGCAGTTCTCAACAGGTAAACCCCAGAAACACTGATAACTGGAAATAAGACACCTTTGTCCATTTTTCTTATGGCCTAAAGGGGCTGCCGTGCAGCCAGACCCGTTAGAGAAACTGAGTCCCGTAGGCTGTTTAGTTAGTAATGCCATTGAGTATTTTCTTCTCCTTTTTTCCTCTTAAATATCTCATTTTCTGAAAATGTTTTTTTTTTTTTTTTTTTTTGCTTTCTGACTAAAAAAGTAATATGTAAACTTTTTAAGGTGTGTTAATGTTTTTGTGTTGTTTTCTTTTAATGGCACTATGTTAGAGATACAAACTGAAGTATTTTTTGGGGTGAAATGATGTGACAGTTGGGATTAGCTTTAAAGTAACCCACTGGGGACAGGGGAAGTGTTTGGCCACGTGTTGATAATTGATGTTGAACTTGGTTGATAGGAACTTGGGTTCCATTGTCTTCTTCATTTTTTTGTATGTGTTTGAACATTTCCTAAATAAATAAGTACTTGCCATGAGAAAGGTATTTATTTTAGAAACCAGGAAAAGATAGAAAAAAATAAAAAAAGATAAATTGACCATAATCCCACAATCTGAGATGTCTTTTGTACTTCTTATTGTATTTTTTAAAAACAGAAATGGAGAAATGCTTTTTCCCCATGTTTCTCAAGCCCATTTTTCTTGCTTACAAGCAGAAAGTATGTTTCCTGTACACTGTGGTCATTATTTCATTATTCAGAAATGAAATAATGAGCTGGTGTATCTAGAACCCTTGGCACATTATGAGTGCTCAGTACGTGGACCGATCCTTTAAAACCCTTTCCGTTGCTGAGGTTTTACGAGTTTTCAAAAATTCTAAGCAGAATATGTGCACTCCAAATTTAAACATTTGCACTTTTTTCTCCTAACATCATTTTTGTGATTGCAAAAGAGCTTCCAAGTTGCTATGGTGCCGGGTCCAATGTGGCTATGGTAGTATATCATGTATCAGAAACCTTATTACACAACAGTAGATCCTGTTTTTGGTGAATTTGCCAGCTGTAAGTAATTATGTTTTTGAATGATATTCTTCAAAGAAAAAGTAATTCCACCAAATTGTTTTTCTTGGATGCCTGACAGTTGCATCCTTTGGTCCGGGGACTGTGCCTGATTTTGCTGTATTTAGTGGTAGATATTCTTTCATATCTCTCAGGCTGTTGGAAAAATAAACTAGGGAAATGAGTAATAATGAAAATGCTTTTTAAAGCACAGTACGGTTGTGCTTTAGGTGTGGAGAACGTGGTTCCATTGATCAAAGTACAGTAACATATTATTACTTTCAAATACACACTTATTCAGATTAGTGTACCAACCAGTAGAAGGAGCAGCGGTGTAGAGCTTAAATTCTTTTTCTGCTTCATGGTTGCAGTGTAACTTTTGGTCAGGTTAGATGCTGACCACATTTCCTCTTGCAACATGAGCATACTAATTAATAGCTCTGTTGGAGGATGGTTAGGATTCAGGAAAATCATGTATGTAAGATACTTGGGACATCTAGCACGTGTCAGCACTCAGCAAATGGTCATAGAGATGACCCCACAGTGATAATAGCTAACGGATGAAGATGTTGCCATTGGGCTGCGGTGGTGACTATGGAGTTCAGTGACAAGCGCCCCTGGACAGCCTAAAGGCCTTTAGTCCTCCTGCAGATGTGGACCTGTCTGCCCAGGCACTGTCATCTGATACAGGCTGATAGCACAGCTGTTGTGGTTCTGGCTGCCTGCTGTAACCCCTAGGGATTTTTCTCAGTGATCATTTGATCATCATCCTAAATGAGGCTTTCTAATTTTTCATGATTTTTTTTTTAAACATAACACTTATAACACTTTTATGCCTTTAATGAAACAGAAAGACCCAAACCCAGAACCTTCAAAGCTGGTCTGTGGTTTATGCTGTTAAAGAGGAACCATCATCTGGGGACCTGCCTGTAGATATTGTATGTTTTATCTGTCACCTCTTACATGCTATACTGATACAAGGGTGTGCTCAAAGTTTTTAAATGAAAATTTTGAAAGTTTGACAGCCATCGCTCTAGGTTATAAAAGACCCTGATATTATCAGAGTATGTAGTTTCGGAGAAGCAGCTGATAAAGAGCACTGGCTGCTGGTAATTCCCACGTTCATTTTAACTAGGAGCTTATAAACGTGATCAGATGTTTTTCAGCTGATAAAATGTATCTGCAAGAAGTTGGTGCTTTTGGAATCACACCTGTGGCGTGAGCCAGACTTTCAGAAACAACCGCTCTTGCAGGAAGTAGTCAAGAATGTTTTCTTGTCTTCAATGGGAAACATAGGTGTGGTTAAGTCACAGAGGCAGTGCTGAGTTCCTGTCCCTTGTGGTTTAAAGGTTTTCATCATTCATCACAACAACAAAGTGGTGGGCATGGTAGGCCACAAATTTAGAAGCACAAATTGTACCTGGATTTCTTTTCAGTCTTCAGAGCTTGGAAATTGGAGCTCTGCATGCCCCTTGCTCAGTGAGGACTGAGGACACTTAAGAGTTTCTTGATCAGAGCTGATGGGGGCACTTGAGAGAGCCTGAGTCCCAGTGTTAAGGGAATAAAGGCTCTATAACGTACCCCGCTGAACGGAGCTGCTGATGGGGCTCCTGAGCCAGATTCGCCATTTTCAGGTGGTGTGGAGAGACCTGAATTTCAGCCTCCTTTTTCTCTTTTGTAGTTTGGGGATGGTTGTACCTGTACAAGTTGTTGAGAAAATTAAATGAACCAATGTGTGTAAAGTACTTGGTGTGATCAAACAATACAGTGAATGTTTAAATAAATAAAAAATTGTTATAGTAAAAGACACATTGCCATTAATCCCCTTCAAAATATCCCCCCTTGCTTTGAACATACTTATCCCATCATTCTTGCCACTTTCTGAAGCAGTTCTGGAAGTCCTCTTTCATGAGTGTCTTTAGTTGCGCTGTTGTGGCTGCCTCGATGTCCTGAATCATTTTGACTTTGGGGAAGAGCCAGAAGTCGCACGGTGCCAGATCTGGTGAATAAGGTGGATGAGGACACACTGTAACATTTTGTTTGACAGAAACTGCTGTGCCAGAAGTGATGTGTGACATGGAACCTTTCCATTGTGATCACAAAATACAGTGAATGCTGCTGCAGAGTGCCATCCAATGGAAAGGCAGGGATCTTCAATACGGGAAGCAGCGCATCGAACCTTAGTAACAGTGTGTGACAAGGTTCAACTTGTTCAGTGCAGGGCCGGCCGAGTGGCGCGATGGTTAAGAACTCGCTTGGGATGCCAGAGGGCCCCGGTTCGGATCCCACGTATGAGGGCCAGTGACACTGCCCTCCACAGCTAAGATGCTGAACAACAGCTCAACCTGGAGCTGGGCTGCCGTGAGTCGCCGGTGAGTCGCCGGCGACGGCGTAGGCTGCAGCCCCCTTGGCAGTGGGTTGCCATGGGCTACCGTGTGTAGCCAGCAGCCAGCGTGAGCGGCCAGCAGCCGCAGTGAGCGGCCATCCAGAAGCCGGCGACTGATCTGCTTCACCAGGGAAGAGCGCAATGACGGTGCCAGCTTGGGCCAGGAAGCAACGTCCTCCACAACTAGATTGAAGAACAAAAATGACAGCAACTTGTATGTTCCCCTTCCCCCAGTTCCTCAGCACTGTTCCCATCCCCCCAATTCCCCAATAAAAATCTTTAAAAAAAAAAAAAATCTTGTTCAGTGCAGTCAGTCAGGTGTGAGCTCTGGTTAAGAGAAGGTGTGTTTTAAAGTGTGCCATCAATCATCCTCCATCATGACAACGTTCCGTGTCACACACATCACTTCTGGTATATGGCAATTTCTGTCAAATAACAACATTACGGTGTGTCCTCATCCACTTTATTCACCAAATCTGGCACCATGCGATTTCTGGCTCTTCCCCAAAGTCAAAATGATTCAGGACATCAAGGCAGCCACAACAGTGCAACTAAAGACCTCACTAAAGAGGACTTCCAGAACTGCTTCAGAAAGTGGCAAGAACGATGGGATAAGTGTGTGCGAAGCGAGGACGAGTATTTTGGGGGTGATTAATGGCACTATGTCTTTCACTGTAATGAATTTTCTTTATTTAAACATTCGCTGTGATGTTTGATCATACCCTGTACCTTGGCTGACAGTAAGTGCTTGGTAAATAAGTGTTGGTTCTCTTCCCTTTTCTCTCTCTCCTTCCCTTCTCTTTGTGCTTGTTGAGGTGGAGGGAGCCACCTATGTCCAAACTTATTTTTACAGGAAGATGAGGCAACCTGAAGTGAGTTAAGCAACTTGAAGTTACTGAGCCATAGCCTGGGAACCCCTTTGTCTTGAGAATACGGGCAGGTGTTGGCCACAGACCAGCCAGGGGTTCCGGGAGACATTAGACTGGACTGTAAACAAATGGGGGTGAACGTGAGAAAAAACGCTGCCCATCTTTTCCTAGTGAGTTTTCTGCTTAATAATGAGGAAGTGCCATTATGACGCTTGACATTTTGATACAACTAATAAGAGGTGTTAACTAGGTTCATAATGGGGCTCTAGCAGCTTTCTAGCTCCTGCTATGAGAAGTTTGTTCCACTGACTGCCCCAGAGAGCTAGTGAATGGGCCTTAGTTATTTCTTATAGAGTTGAAAAAGCTATCCAAGATCACGCTTCAGTCCTTAGTAGTTATCCTACTTGGAATTTTGTCTGTTTGTTGCCCAAGTTGTTTATTTCTTGTTCATTTGTTCATTCATTCATCGTGTATGTACTGAGCACCTACTATGTAGTTGCCTTTACACATACACTTTTATTTAACTCTCAGAAGAATTTGGGGTAGTTTTGGAATCACCTCTGTGACTTGATCCATACAGGCCTATAGGTCTATCTCCGTTGTATATTGAACCATTTAATGCTATAAATTTTCCTCTAAGTGGTGCTTTAGCTTCATCCATCAAATTTCAATATGTTCCATTTTGCTCTTCATTGTCCAATATATTTGTAAATTTCTCTTGAGATTTCCTCTTGGTTTACTTTCCAAATATTTGGAGACTTTTCCATATATCTTGCTATTATTGTTTTCTAGTTGATATTGATCTATAAACACAGTTTCATTTCACCTCTTTTCAATTTGTTATGGTTCATTTTATGACCTGGTCTTCTTGGTGATTGTTCATCATGCACTTGAAAAGAGTGTGTATTCTACTGTTGTTGGCTGGAGTGTTCTGTGAATCTGTGAGGTCAGGCTGGTCGATCGAATTCTACATGTTATCTTTGTCTTGCTTGTGCCATCAGTTACCAAGAGAAGTGAACGCTCCATGTCTCTTTTCAATTCTGTCAGTTTTTGCTTTATTTATTTTGAGACTCTGTTAGTTGCACACAAATTTAATTTTCCTTTTCAGTGTATCTATTGAGTGTTTGACTAGATCTCATTAGATGATTTTTTTTTTTAGTGGTTGCTCTGGGTATTATATATACTTTGCACATTTTTTGATTACTTCAATGTAATGTGGAAACCTTATCACCATGTAGGTCCTTTACGCTCCCTTCTTTATATTGAGGTTGCTGTATGTTTTACATCTATATACACTGAAAACCCCATCAGACAATGTTCGGTGTTTGCTTTCACCCATCATTCATATTTTAAAGATCTTAACAGGAGAGAAGTAGTTTATTGTATTTACCCAGACATTTGCCAGGTCCCTTACTGTACCTTCATACTTGAAGTTCAGGTTTCTTTCTCATTATCATTTACCTTCTGGATTTGCTTGGTTTGCCATAATGAAATACCGCAGGCTGGGAGGCTAAACAACAGAAATCTATTTTCCCATAGTTCTGGAGGTTGGAAGTCCAAGATCAAGGTGCTGGTAGGTGCAGTTCTGGTGAGGACCCTCTCGGCTTGCCGGTGCTGCCTTCTCTCTGTGTCTTCCCATGGCCTGTCTTCTGTGCATGCCCAGGACAGAGCGGGCAAGCCCACACACACCCTCGTGTCCCTTCATCTAGGGCACTAATCCTGTTGGATTAAGGCTCCTATCCTGATGACCCCACGTAACTTTTAGTCCCTTTTTAGAGGCCTTTTCCACAAATACAGTCATACTGGGGGTTCAGGCTTCAGCATAGGGATTTTGAGTGGACACAGCCCAGCGCATAACACCCTTCCATCTGCAGATGCTCATGGAGGGCGGTTATAATCACTGCTTTCAAAGTGTCTGGTAATTCCAGCGTCAGTGCCATCTTGAGTTGGCATCTGTCAATTGTCTTTCCCTTGATAAATGGTCAGTGTCTTCTCGGTTCTTTGTGTGTTGACTCATATTTTGGATCCTTTTACCTGTTTGCTCTACCAGTCTTAGACATGGTTTCCGTCTCCACAATCCCCTATGGTCAAAGACGAATGCTGAGTTTACAGCCATCACGCCCACAATTCAGGCAGCAGGAATGAGAAGGGGGAGAAGTTTGACCAAAGAAGCTTTCCCGAAGGCCCCACCCAGTGACTTCTATTAATCTGTCCTTGACCACACCCCTCTCTGCAAATGCGACTGGAAATGTAGTCTTGCAGATGGCCCCAACGCCCAGTGTTCTCTTATGAAGAAGGAAAGAATGGGTATTGGGTAGGCCACCAGCGTCTGCCACATCCACCTACTTCCCAACCTTCACCAAACACCGGGAGCTTAGTTACCTAAGTGTGCTTTAGCCTGCTTCCTACTTGGCTTCAATTTTCTAAGTGATGTGGGTTTTTTTGCAGCCATAGTTACCAATTGCCAGTAAGGATTTTAGGTCTAATTTAGGAGTACCCTTTGCATACAAAGTCTTTAAATTGCCTTTTAGCTCTATAAGACAGTTTACAGGTGACAGATTTTTCTGTCCTCTAGTTTGAAGTGGATTTTCTTTCCTAGCAAAATTGTGAGGCTGTTTTGGTTCATCATAGCAAATTATAGCATGAAACTTCTGTAATGTTAGGAATTTATGTCTTGAACAAATGGCAGATATAGGCTCCAGGCTCAAGTGTTTGATCTTACCTCTCTCTGAAGCGTACCCAAGTGGGACTTTGATTCTCTTGGGAATTTTTCCCTGCAGATAATTGCCTGTTTTATTAGTGATTTTCCTGCCATCATTCCTTTTTGGGCCATGCTCAGTTGCCAATCTGGTCTAGGTTAAGTCTAGTCATTTACAAAGACTGAGGGAGGTATTGTTGGGGGAAGGGTGGGCAGCGTTTTTGTCCCTAGTGAAGAAAGAGCCCTTCTGCCACCAAACTCTGAAATATGACCATTCAGGAGGATTTTTTAAGTTGTCTTTAGACGGTCTCTATACGGTCTCATCACATGAGCTGAAACTCTTAGATGAGATGGACTACATTTGATCTTGGCATTGGATACCTTTTAGCTTTGGTTATCTTGCTATCCTAACACTCACCTGAATAGATTAGGTGGTTTATTAGAGTTCCTGTCATGAAAACAAAGCACACTTAATTATTTTAGGAATTCCATGTAGAAAATGGATTAAACTGGCTTTAGAGGACTGGAAAAGCAATAGGGGAGCACTGAGATAACAGATGAGAGCTGCCGGAGATAGCTCCACCCCCAGGGCTAAGAGGTTAGGTTTATTAAAAGGATCACAAAACACCACTTACCTCTTACAGTTGTTAAAAGGATTGAATCATTCACTTAATTGATATTTAAATATAGTACCTGTACTCCCCAAGACAACCACTGAGAAAATAACTAAAAAAATATATGGTAAAAGAAATGGCAAGGGAATTAAGATGGTATACTAGAAAATACAATAGAAGGCGGTAGTGGGGAAATTGAGGACCAAAAGATATCACAGAAGAGCAAAATGGCAGAAGTCCTTCCTTAGCAGTAATTACATGAAATGTAAAGGATTGACTTCTCTAGCTAAAAAGCAGAGGTTGGCAGGATGGATGAAAAAACATGGTCCAATTCCATGTTGTCTCCAAGCTTTGGTTTCAAAGACATAACTAGGTTGAAAGTAAAAGGCTAGAAAAAGATATTCCCTGCACACAAGAACAGAAAGAGATCCAGGGAAGCTATACAGACAAAACAGACTTTAAGACAACAATTACTACCAGAGACAAAGGAGGACGTTATATGATGAGAAAAGGGTCAGCCTGTTTGGAAGGTGCCTGTACCATAGTTAAATGAAGAAGGACCCCTGCTGCTGTTCACTGTCACACACTTGTGCCACCCCTTGAACTAAGTGTAGCTCAGATGTCGCTTGTGTGTGATAATCTCACACACACACACACACACACACACACACTATCCTCTTCATAGCGCAGGGGCCTTTGCAGACCGAGGCTCGATGCCTGCTTTCACCTGACCTTGAATTTCTCCCGCCACCTAGGTACGAAGACGCCCTCGTCCTTCTGCTCACAGAGGTGTTGAATCGAATCCAGTTCAGATACAACCAGGCCCAGCTGGAGGAATTGGACGACGAGACTCTGGACGATGATGTAAGGGGACCCCCCTCCCTAACCGGGGACCACCACCATGCTCTGGAGACTCGGAGCCTGTCAGCCCCTGCTTAGGAGTCTGTTTAAGCCAGAGTCGTCTTAGGAGGGCTTGAGTTGCGCATTTGAAACTTACATCCTACCCGTATCTTTGGGTTTGTTCACTGTAAAGACAGTTTCACAGGCATTTTTACCTGTGTGGTTGAGAGGTGTAAGCACATATGTACACGGACAGGTGGTTTAGTGAGAACTCTGTCCCACCCGTTTCCCTGCCTTGCACCCACACCTGGCTGCTGCTGGTGGAAATACGCACGTGATAAGGTTAGAGTGAAAGGAAGTTTCTTTCAAGCGTATTTTGTAAACTGATAGCTCTTCAAATCAACCTTGAATTTATTGATGCTGGTGTGCTCCTCATCGATGAGGACCAGCTCCTGTGTTCTTTTCCTTAACCCATGCACTTTTACATGTTCAAGTCACTGGTGTGGCTTTCAAAGTAACAGTGACTGTGGCATCATGAAGACCTTGAGGGCGGCCATGTTTGGGTTAGAAGGAGCCCAGAGCTTGGAACCAGGTGTCCTGGGTGCAAATCTGCAGCCTTGGGCACGAAGGAGATCGAGGTGTGATCATGGAAGTCTCTGAACCTTAGTTTCTCATCTCCCAGGAGAGGGTGACGTGTGTGTGTGTGGACAATTACATGAGGGTAACACACGAGGAAGGACTGGCCACATGCTTGGTGCATAGTAGGTGCTTGGTGAACTCGCTTCACTTCTTGTGAACTGTGTGATTTAGGCCGGTGCTTCTCGCACTTTCGCGTGGATGAGACTCGCTGGGAGTGGAGGATGGGGGTGGGGACACAGCATTTGCATCTCTGACAAGCCCGTCACCTGGCGCAGCTCCCACCGAGGTCGTCAGTGACACAGGAACGGAGTAACGGACCGTCTCAGAGGGCAGGGAGTGACCAGCCCCTGTAGTGGTGGGGCTGACGTGCAGGTGATGCGAGCATTTCCCACGTGGCTTTTTATCTGTCTTCCTGTGACTGTAGGGGATAAAGTCGGTTCATTCTACGTGGATCATTTGCTTTCTTAGGAAAAAGTTTTTAATGACAGTAATTAATTAATTGGATTTAAAAGATATATTTTAGCTTGGCCTTTTTCAAGTACCAGATCACCCGGTCCCATCGTTAGCCATTTCGTCCAACTGTTACGTTGGAGAGTGGACTTAAGCTGAGGACAGGTGGGCAGAGAAGATGACAAGACTCTGCCCATTAGGAGAGCTGACCCTTCCCTGTCCCCCTGCAGCAGCAGACAGAGTGGCAGCGGTACTTACGCCAGAGCCTGGAGGTGGTGGCCCGAGTGATGGAGCTCCTGCCCACACACGCCTTCTCAACCCTGGTGAGTCGCCATTTGGGGGACGGGAGCCTCACATGTTCCCTGTGCACACAGCGCGAGGAGGAAGGCTTCCTTGTCACTGGTGTTACCAAAACGTGTACGCTAATTACCAGTCCCGACCCTTCCATTTAGCAAACGCTAACATTTTCCCCAAATATTTTAAGTCACTTTTTGGAAGCCCTGTTTTTCTCTGCTCAGCTCTGGGTGTAATGTGAGTTTTCCTACTGCCTTCATCGGTGGCTTGACAGTGGCCAGGCCGTCGAGGGTTTACTTACACGAACCACATGGCCGATCAGTGAGCTGGGGGGAAGCTCATCCCTGGCAGGTGGCCAGCACTTTCTGCCTGGGTCTTTGGCGGCGTTTCTAGTCACAGGACCGATTCCGTTCCCTCGGTGGTGCTTGTTGTGCGAGGGGATTTCGTTAAGCCATCGCTTCTTCAAAAGCAAGTTAACTTAGGGGGCAGCCTCGCACTGTACAGCCCAGCTGTATTGGTTCTCTCATGGAAAGGGCCATTCTATTCTGTCATCTGCCTTTCTTATGGACCTGTCATATTAAAGTTTTATCTCAATGGCGAAATTAGCAGTTTAGAGAGTGTTGAGTTAGCAGTTTAGAAAGAGAAGCTGCTGCTCTGGTCATGAAGGGCCTGTCACTAAATGAGTGAGGGAAGCTGACTTCCATATAGCCCGTCGTCTTCTCACTCGGCCTGCACTTTAATAAGGGCATGTGTGCATTGCTCTCGAAGGTCGGATCTCCCTTGGACTTGAATTTGAAGGGAGATAGGCCTGTCTCAGAACTCTGAAAGGTATAGATCGTTTGGGGGATGGGTGGTCCCTTTGGGAACATAATAGGCCTACTTAGCATCCACTGCTTAAAAAAGAAAAAGTATCAAACTGACATTTTCTTTCTTAGTCCAAATATTGGGTTGTCAGAAAAGTCATGACACATTTTTGCAAAGAAAAACAGAAAAAATATGTCATGACTTTTCCGACAACCCAATATTAAGTGGTGGTTTCGGTTGTAAAACTTGGTGGTGGGATATTGCAGGGAGCCACCTCTTAGGTAACCGGAGGACCTGTATCCTGCCTCGCCCCCCCAGGGACTTGTACTGTTTTAATCGAAAAATGCTGTTAAAACTCGCATTTATGATTTTGTTTTTTAATCTTTGCTGCTTTGTTTTCAGTTCCCAGTTCTTCAGGACAATTTGGACGTTTATCTGGGGTTACAGCAGTTTATCGTTACGTCAGGGTCAGGTAACTGGTTTTTATTGTCTAATTTAACCAACATTCACACAGATTGACTAACATGTAATTACTGCTTTCTTTGCCATCAGAACATGGTTTCTCCTCTGTCACCTCCTGCTCTGCCTTTCCCTGCTTCTAAACAGAAAAAAGAAAAAGTGATAGAAAGGAGCATGGGGGAGGTCAGAGATGAGGTGACAGTGTATTCCAGAGGTGTTTCCGTGAGAGAGAGAGGGAGGGAGAGAGAGAGAGAGAGAGAGAGAGAGAGGGAGAGAGGGAGGGAGAGAGGAGAGAGAGAGAAAATCAGGAGCAGAGGTGGGGCTTTTTATAACCCTGGCCGTTGGAACATGTCCTGACGTCCTCCAAACCTTAGGGTGTGCTGGGGAAATGACCTGGGGCTCAGCTGTGACGGGCTTTTTCTCGTCTGGGCTTCAGAGTCCAGGAGGACGGAGGGGCAACCCCAGAGCAGGACGGCCGGGATTGAGTGCCCAGAGCTCAGGGATGTTAGCATTCCTCCTGGAAACGGCCGTGGGCGGCTCTACCCGGAGCTGGCTGGGAAGGCTCTGGGCTGCGTGTACCCGGTTCACCTACTTGGGGTTTAGGGGTAGCACTTGTATGTTTATTGCTAGTAATAATAACAATAACAACAACAACCTCCATTTGTAAAACATTCATGACATGCCAAACATTGCATTATTTATTTGCCCTGTTATCTTATTTCATTCTCTTAACTGTTCTATGAGGTGTAAGCATTAACACTAGTTACCCCTATTTTATAAAAGAGGAAATCAGAGATGCTCAGAGATGTTAATTTACTTAGAGTCATGGAACTCGTTAGTGCTAGTCCAAAGATGGTATGATGGGGAATGACAGAAAGCTGAAGTAACTAAAACCTGACATGCACCATGCCAGCTGAAAACAGCAGACACTCACGAGTGTGCTTTCCGACACACCGTGTGCCCCAGCCCCGTCCCCCACAGGCATTTTACTCACTCGCCGCCTCCAGTGCTCCCCTTGTAGGAGTTATGCGTGGCCCTGGCCTGCTGTCCCCATGCTGTGTGACTGGCACCCAGCTGACCAAGGTGCAGCCCGGCTCCTGGTCACTTTGCTTTGCATGGCGCAGCCTCCCTGGAAGGCTCCTTCTGAGACTGTCCTTCTGGGTGGCCTGTGACGGCTTCTTTCCATGACTACAGGAGCTTCTAAATAACCACCTGGGCTCCAGGAATCTGATGAGACTTGGCTTGGCCTGAGGATAGGCCCTGGTGTTGGAGATCCGGCAAGCACAACATCTACAGAACTTTAAAAAGCCCACTTTGCAATGCAGACGGGCCTGTAAAGTATGTCGTCAGCATGAATGAAAATCATTTGTGTGAACACTACGGATGTTTCCAGAAGCCATTCCTGGGAAAAAGCCACCCTGGTGGTCCCTCCTAGAATGTCCTCAGGACCTTGAAGACATTGTTCTTTTTTTTTAAATTTTTTAAAATTTTTTTTTTTTTAAGATTTTTATTGGGGAATTGGGGGGATGGGAACAGTGCTGGGGAATTGGGGAAAGGGGAACAGACAAGTTGCTGTCGTTTTTTTTTTTGTTCTTCAATCTAGTTGTGGAGGACGTTGCTTCACTGACCCAAGTTGGCACCATCATTGCACTCTTCCTGGGCGAGGCAGATCAGTCGCCGGCTTCTGGACGGCCGCTCACTGCGGCTGCTGGCCACTCATGCTGGCTGCTGGCCACACACGGTAGCCCATGGCAATCCACTGCCACAGGGACTGCAGCCCACGCCGTCGCCAGTGACTCACGGCAGCCCAGCTCCAGGTTGAGCTGTTGTTCAGCATCTTAGCTGCAGAGGGCAGTGTCACTGGCCCTTATGAAGACATTGTTCTTGACCTTAAAAGTAAACAAACACAGCATGTACTTCCTGCCCCCAAATTTGACTCCTTGGCTTTGTAGTGTGGTAGCTGCCTTGTGTCTGTTAGGTTGAGTCTGTCTTGCGGTGGAAATCAACAGTGGTGAGCCTTAAGTCCTTTTTCTGAGACACAACTGATCACTTGGAGCTTCTCATCTGAGGAGGATAATCTGACTCATTTTTCCCTCAATGAAGTGCTGTATCCCTGCTCATCGAAGCCCATTTACTGGCAATTTCACAGTGAGCTGGGCTCTTCCCGATTACCTATAAATCTCACCCAGCCTGGTCCTTAGTGCCAACTCCGGTGGCACAGCCTCTCAGGCTGCAGAAACACTTATTTCCTTTTTCAAAATGAGCTCTCTTATCCATGACGAAGCCTTCCCTCATTCCTTGGTGGCTCCAAAGCTGCGTTTCCAATGCAGAGGCTGTTAGCAAATGGAAACGCCTAGTACCTTCTGTTTCTGGTTCCCGTGGCCATTCCCCCCCCACGTAACCTCTGTGCTCATTAGCCAGCTTTACGGCCTCGCAGCAGAAACCACAGTGTCCTGTCCCCATAGGTTGTAGCCCCCACCTTCCACTGGCATTTATCCTGCTGGCCTTTCCTTCTTGGGTCTCTTGGAGCCTGTGTGGATGGCAGCCTCACGTTTTCTCACAGCTGCTCACTTTCCTGCTTCCTCTTCCTCAGTCAAGTCCAAGGCGGATATGTTGTTGCTGGGACACGGCCATGGCCGCGTGCTCCCCCACCCTGCGGCGCCCTGCCCTCGCTGCCTGTCTTTCCCTCCGCGTGTGGTGGTTCTGTGTTTGTGCCTATTCTGGCCCCTAGGGACCCGTTCTACATGTGATGTTCCCTCCCCGGGGCAGGGTTTCTGCCTTGAGTAACCCAGCTCACCTCTCTGCTTAGTCATGCAGACTTCCCCGCCTGAGAGATTGCTTCACCTACAGTATATAAGAGCTTTGGACCTAGTTCTTTGTCCTGCTTGGGTTTACTTAGGACTTGGTGTTCTCTCAGGACGGGATGCCGCACATGCTCATTTTCACATTGTCACCTCCCCAGCCTTCTCAGAAGAAGACGAGTTACGCATGGCGTTAGATGTTTATTTCCAGGGCAGTGGTTTGCCAGGGAGCTCTTCTCTGGAGGTGGCTCAGAGCGCACCTGGACAGCCTCAGGGGGACTGGGTTTGTGGAGGATAGGACTTGAGCGTGGCCATGATTTCTGCCTCAAACTCACATGGAGCAGTATTCTCACCTGAACATTCCAGCCTGCAGACACTGTGCTCCTGGGGGGAAACCTAAGCTTAGTGAAGTAGAGGGAAATGGGGGGATCTGACAGCTTTCCGCAGCAGGAACCCCAGCCTGCCAACGCAGAGTGAGCTGTGGTGCTGTGTGACTTTGCGGTAGGGGTGCTGTAGGAGGGGTCTAGACCCAGGGCGGGGCGGAGACCTGGATGGGGGATGGGGGGCCCTTCTGCCTGTGTGTGTGTGTGTCTGTGCCTTGCAGGTAGAGCAGGAAGGAACCAGCTACCGTTTTAACAAGCACCTTTGATGACATGTGTGTTAAGTTGAATTATATGGAATTGTAGTTTTGTTAGGCCAGAAATGGCCCAATATCAACAGTTTCATATGGTTCAAACTAATAATTAACAGAAGCCACACACAGCAGTTCTGAGCTGGTTTTTTTTTTTTTTTTTTTTTTTTTTTTTTTTTGTTTTTTGTGGGCACCGCTCTTCGTTACACAAGTTAGGGCAGGTTTAGCAGGGGGTGACCAGGAGGGTGACAGGGGACATGGAAGGAACCCCAGGGGGTTATTTCAGCCAAGTGGGGATTTGCAGGACTGTTAGCTAGCTTCACGTCTCTCCAACACTGTCTGTCGTGTGTCAGCAAGCCTAGGCTCGGCTTACGTTCTACCATCCAGGAGTGGGGCCGGGGGAATGAGGAGGAATTACCTGCGTCTGACTAAGCTGTCCAGGGATGGGAGGCTCCCGCAAGGGGCACTGGGCTCCATGGCATCCAGGTGTGGTGCCCAGGGAGAGGCTAAAGGGCTGCGGGCAAGGCTGGAGTGGGGAGGCAGGGCTACTCCTGGCTCCAATGACTGTCTGTCAGGGGCTGTATGCAGATGGGACCTTGACTTAGGGTGGGGGGGTGTTTGGATTTGGTTTTTAAGAGAGAAATATAGACTGTTTCCCTTCATGCTTCAAATATTTAAGAACCTAGTTCCTAGGCACACCTGAGGGTACCTCGTTCTAGGTATTCAGTACAGCAGATGAGCTGAAAACTGTGATGGGGTGGAGCTGGTGGGAGGTGGAGTTAAGATGAGGGGCTGCTGCCCCTGACTCAGGCCCACCCACACTGCTCTTAGAAGGAGAGGCTGGCCTCGTCGCTGTCCTGCCACCACCTCTGTTCCCAGGTGTGTTTGCAGGAGCCTTATTTCCCACAGAGCCTGAGGCATGGCTGGTGTGATGGGAACCAAGGTGTACCCTGGGAGTCGGCCAGCTGGCCGTGACCCTGAAAATCCCGGACACTCGGAAGGTGTATAATTGTGCTTCTTTTAACTGGGGGGTGAGAAGACGGGCGGTGTCCCTGTCATGTGACACAGTGTGACCAGAAGTAATTCCTGGTCCTGTCTGTGCTGTGGGCTCACCTGGCTGGTGCTGTGGGCTGGTCCCCCTCTTGCTCTGACTGGGGGGCTGGCTCAGACCCCCAGACGCCACCTGGTGGCCTCACGGGATGCCTGTGGGCTGATTGTCTGTTCTCTGCACCAGGGCTCCGCTCTCTGGAGAAAGGAACGGGCCATCGGGGGCCGGTCAGAGTTGCCGGTTAGAGCTGGCCTTTGTCACCTCGTAAGGCCCTTCCTGGAGCTGCCCCTTCCTTTCCTTCTCCTTGGGATGTGACCCACAGTGCCCTGGCCAGAGTCTCCTTTTCCACGTGCCGTCACAGGCTCCGTTCCTGCCTCATCACTTGGAAGTTGGTGTAGGAGCCGAGGCAGAAAACTTGCTGCTTCACCCATCACTGTCTTCATAGGTGCTCAGCCTCGCAGGATTCTCCTCCACACGTGTAGCTTATCCGCATTCACCTTTAAATATAAAACTAACGTGATATTCCCGAGGGCAGTTCGAGGACATCAAGCTCCCAAGATTCCCTCTCCTGCTCTGTCTAGTTTGCTTTCTGTCCTGTTGTATTGAACTCACTCACACACTTGTGGTCATACCAGGCTGTACCAGGTGCTGTGTGACATTGGGTATGGCCCCTTCCCATCAAGGACTTAGTGAGAAGACTTGTGAATCTTGTTTGTGTCTGAGGTGCCTAGAGGGACTCAGGAGGCGGGGAAGCCTGTTTTCTGTTGGGGGAGGGAAGGGAAGGTCTCTCAGAAGAGATGCAGGTTATGCGGGTCTAGAGAGACCGGAAGGTGCCTAAGAGCGTGCGAAGCGGGGTGGACGGTCCAGGAAGGGACACCAGTTTATGCAGACACAAGGTGTCCGGGAGGTGATCGGGGATCCCTCTGATAAGAGTGGAATTGTAGGAGGAGGTGATGTTGTGGGAGACCCTGAGTTGGTACTGGGATTCAAGCTCTTCCCCCTTTAGTTGGAGAGCCCAGGAGGGTGTGGCACCTTGCTCCAGGGAGCTGTGGGCTTAGATCGGGGCTCCAGGAAGTGTTTGTGGAGTGCTATGGGATTGGTGATGACTGCTTTGAGGTGCTTGCCTCTTAACAGTGAAACCCTGGAGTGGCAGTGCAGGAATAAGCCTAGAAAAGTGTTTGGGGACCGGTGGCATTGCAGGCGCCCGGGGCAGTGGTCTGACTACTGCCCTCCCTCAGTCCTGCTGGTGAAGGAGGGGGACTCAGAGCCCTCCCCTCTGGCTGACCGTTCTTACTGTGTTTTGTGGACCTTTGTGAGGAGAGGGGCCCAAGGGGCAAGTGGGTTGCCGAACTGAGGATGTTTTTGTCCTTCATCATTGCATCGTCCTTGCTCAGCTTGTAGAAATTATGTTGAAAAGTAAGGAAGTTTCAGGCCTTAGAAAATCACTAGCTCTTTGTCATTCATAATTATTGCAAACATTGAATAAATAATAGTTTACAGGGTTTTTCTGTGCATTCTAATTTAGCCCTTAGTGAATGAGATAGTAGCATATTTTTCCATTTTGAAGATGAGGAAACAGACTTAGAAGGACTCACCGAGGCACAGAGGCAGCAGATGGCAGGGAACCTGTCTGCTGGGTCCCAGTCCTGTGCTGGGTGTCACATGTTCTGCTCCTGCAGCTTTCCCTCGTTGGGCTGCCGAGTGACCCTGTTCTTTGAGCAGGGAGAGGCTCACTTCTCCGCCCATGGAGATGTCATCCTATGGCAGAGCTGTGTGCAGGGTCAGGGAGTTGTGGAGCTGCTTAGACCGGCTTGCTAGGACAGCAGCTCTGCCCCAGAAGTGGGGTTCACGTTGGGCATGTGACTGGGCCCCCCGAGTGTGCTCCCTTGTATGTAAAACTGGTGGCATCAGGATCTGATAGGTGCTCGGCCCGTGTTGGCACTCCCGGGCTGGCCCTTCCTCTGGCTCAGCAGTGCCTGTGGCCTGGCAGGAGGTGGAGACTGCACAGCTGCCGTGCTTGGTCCCAGGCCTGGGGGTTGCTGTGTTTCGAGAACTGGTTTTGCTAACTGTAGCTGGCCTGTCGTGGTCACTAAGGCATGCTCTTCCTGTGACAACGTGTCTGCGCTGCTCTGTTCTAGGCCACAGGCTGAACATCACGGCTGAGAATGACTGCCGTCGGCTGCACTGCTCCCTGAGAGACCTGAGCTCGCTGCTGCAGGCCGTCGGCCGCCTGGCCGAGTACTTCATCGGAGACGTGTTTGCTGCACGCTTCAGCGACGCCCACACAGTCGTGGAGAGGTAGGCTGGCTGCCATTCCCCCTACGTGCGGGAGGGGCAGTGCGTTCCCACCAGCCTCTGCCTGGCGCCAGGTAAACCGAGGCTCTGCACCTGCAACGTGAACACGGAGCAGTGAACATGGAGCAGTCGATCCCTTGACCCCTGAGGCTCCTTACCGGTAACGTGGAGCAGGGAGTCTCTGTAGGTTTACTGGGAGAATTAATAGGATGAGGCACTTGGTACCAGGCCTGGTGTGGAGCAGACAATAAATAAATACAGCTGTTATTTTGTTGAAGGTCTTGTATGTGATGTAAAAAGACAGGATTAGTCAGAGAAGAGCAGGTGAGGTCTCTGCTGATGGGATAAAGAGACATTAGGAAGGCCTATTAATTAATAAAAGGACCAAGAAGCAGGTAACAGGCAGCTGGATGTCAGAGGTAGGGCTTTCCCTGTCCTAATAGGACTGTTTTTTCTCATCCTGTCCGGGTCTCAAGGAGGTAAAGCTGGGCAGCCTCCCAGCCTGACCGGAGAGGGGTCCCCAACCGCTCTACCACCAAACCGCTCTTGTGACTTCCTCTCCTTGGGTCCCTCGTAGGGTTGGCAGCTGCATTTGTTGGGGACCATTTCATGCTCCCTAGTCTGCCCCTCCACCCTCAACTCACATGCTTAAAAAAATCATGCACTTAAAATGGAAGTGATGGGTGGTTCAGGCCTTTCATGGTAACGGTTGAGTTCATTGGATCAATACTGGGTGGATGTGGGTCAAGACCAAGGTACCTGGTGCTTTCCCGGCCTAGTAGCCGCGTCACTGGGAACACTGAAGGGGACACCGAGCCCCAGGCCTAGTCACTTGCCTACCAGGTTTTTATTTAATGGTTCTTAGCTTCGAATCAGAGATAACTAAGAGTTTTAAATGACTCTTTAAAAATCAGATTAATATCAATTATAAAAGCGGCCTGTAGTAGGAAATTTTCAAAGTGGTTTTGCACCTTTCATCTATACCAGGGGTCGGCAAACTGCGGTTCACAAGCCACATGCGGCTCTTTGGGTACGTTCCATCTCAAAAGTTTGTCAGCCCCTGGGCCGGCCAAGTGACTTAGTTGTTTAAGAGCTCGCTCAAGAGTTTGAGCTTTGAGCAACAGCGGTTCGATGCCCAGCCTGAGCTGAGTTGCTAACAGATGGCAGGATGGCTCAGCTTAAAAAAAAAAAAAAAAGTTTGCCAACCCCTGATCTATACTTTGAGGGACAGGTATTGTCACTTTACCTGCAAGTAAGTGGGGCCTAGAGACGCTGAGCACTGTGGATGGGTCACACAGCTCCTGAGACAGAGCTTGCGGACTAACCACCTCCTGAGTCCAGTGCTGTGCTCTTTGCTTCCAGACCTTAGTGCAGAAAGGTGTGTGTGTGAGGACCTGGGAAGTAACAGCTCGAGGTCTCTGCACTGCCTCGGTCTGCAGGACCAGCACTTAAAGATTCTCAGCTATTATATTTTTGTCTTCAGTTTAGAATGAAGTGTGAGAGAAGGTGCCACGTGAGCTTAATAGCCAGTCTGTTCAGCAGTGTTTTCACCTACAGGTTCCAGGAAACCAACCTGGCATTTATACTGCTAACCACAGAAACATTAAGAGACACGTTATGAAGTCCATTTTCAATGTGGACGAGCCGCAGAGTGTAAAAACAGAGTGTAACGCCATCATGTGTGATGCCACGTGTGTGAGGCCCCAAGAGGAGTCAGATTTATAGGGACAGAAAATAGATGGTGGGTACAAGGGCCAGGGGTGGGGTAGGGAGAGTTTTATTATCTAATGGGTATAGAGTTTCAGTTTTATAGGGTGAAATGGATAGTAGTGATGACTGCACATTATGAATATACTTAGTGCTTATTGTATAAACATAAAGAATGGGGAGCAGTTTGAAGAGTTGAACCCCAGGGCACGTTGCTGTTCTTCTTCCTGAGTAACTGTTTAGATTTCTACTATATTAATAGTTACCACCACCACCACCGCCCCCTTCCTAGGATTTCAGACTGGGACCCTTGGCTCTCTGACCCTTATCTTCTTGACTGAGTGGAAACGCCCCAGTCTGACTAATTTGTGGCCCAAGCTTGCAGTTTTATAGTAAAGCCCTCCTCTCCCTGCATTGGAGAGGAGCATTCCCAGAGGAGGGTCCACACATCAGAGTCCCGGGTGCTTTTCACAGATGTGTATTTCCCACTCCTCCTCACAACTAGAAGTCGGTCTGTGGGGTAGGAGGAGGGAGTTGGTACTTGTCACACGTTCCCCAGGCGATTCCCATGCTCAGTGAAGCTCGAGGGCCCCTCACCACTGGACTGAGGGAGAACACGCCGTCTTCCCTGGCACCCGTCTCAGGCCTGCTTGTGGGTTTGCTCACCGAGTGGGCACAGAGGGAGCTTGGCCAGGTCTCCGGTTTCCCCCTGGCTCAGGAAGGACTGTCTGTCTGTCTGTCTCTGAGGAAAGAGGCGCTTTCCATTCGCCAGTACAGATGGCCATTAGTCACTGTATTTAAGGCTCGTTTGTGTCCAGCGAGCCCTTGGGCAACAGGGGGCTCAGCAGCTGGCTTCTGAGAGACTTGTGCTTGAAATGAAAACACCTCGATTTATTCTAGAGACTTTTGCTCCCTTCCCGCCCCCCCCCCCCGCCCCAATATTTTATCATGAACATTTTCAAATCTTCAGCAAAGTGGAAAAATTATACAGGCCATACCCATATACTTATCTCCTAGATTCTACAGTGCTGTATTTTCTTTGTCATATAGATCTACCCACCTGAAACATTTACTTTAAAAAAAAAATTTTTATTGTAAAATACACTTCTAAAATTTCTATCTTAATTATTTTTATTGTATATATATTATATTACATCATAGGATAGTCTCTGTGTTGGATATTTATATTGTTTTCAAAAATTTTTGCTACTGCAAGTAATACTTTCATTGGTACCTTTGTATATCAGTCTTTATGCACTTCTCAGATTGTATCTCTGGGATGAAATTGGAGGTCCAGCCTTTATTCTGGGACCTCTGTTGGCACCGTGCCTCTTGTCTTACTTGAGTCTGAAGCTTAGTGTTTTTTCTCACCTGCTTCTCTGCCGACAGATTGGTCAAAGTCACTCTGTATGGATCTCAGATCAAGTTGTACAACATTGAGACTGCTGTGCCGTCTGTGCTGAAACCTGACCTCATCGATGTGTAAGTAGTTAGATGCTTGTGGCTTCTCGGGAGAAAGCTTGTCCTCCAGCCCCAGATAATAGTACAAATAAAGGGGGATAGCAGTGGCTGCCATGAGAAAACTCCCACCTCCAGACCTAGAAGCGGGAGATTGTTTGGTGGAATTCCCGGGCCGGGGTGGTCAGAGTGAGTGGGCCCCATCAGGAAGCTGAGCGCTGGGAACGGAGGGTCCACGGAGCGGGCATTTTAGGAGGGTAGGATGGCACAGGCCAGGGCAGGTGGGGAGGTGATGCCCATCGGGGGCTGGGAGGTGAGACTGCACAGGTGGGTGGGAGCCAGAGTGGGAGCACCATGAAGGCTGTGGATCTGATCCTAGAACAGTGACTGGGACTGTGGTGCAGAGAATGACATGGGGACACAGTCCCTCGTAGGCTCTGATGGAGAGGCTGGCACAAGGCCCAGGTGGCCACACAGGAAACAGGGTATCCAGGGACCACACTTTGGGAGACTGTGTAGATGATTCGAAGCCAACAGGAAAGTGACACATGGGCTAGAGGAATGGAGACTGGACATGGGGCCATAGCTCAGAGGTCACACTGCCTTCTGGGCCTGCTCTCAACTAGAGCAGGGTTTGGCCAACGGTGGCCTATGCCACACCTGGCCCATGGCCAGCTTTTGTAAATAAAGTTATTGGCATACAGCCATGCCCACTCATGTGCATATTGTCTGTGCTGCTTTTGCACTGTAATGGGAAAGAGTATGGCCTGCAAAGCTCAAAATATTTACACTGTTTTTATAGGAAAAATCTGCTGACCCCTGTTCTGGAGTGTTCTCGAGCTGCAAATTAGATAAATGATATAAAGAGAATCTTTTTTCACTATGGTGGTTTACATGTTGGAAACCTTTCTTTTTGAGAATTTAAAGAAAGCTGTGAAGCTTCTCTTGAGAAAGATGCTAATTTGCCCATAAACACAATCCCTTTCACATGATGTCAGGAAGCTCTAGAGCCCATCCCTTCGGCCTTAAGGAACTCGGTCAGTTTGATGGATTGACAGAAATTCTGTGCCTGTGAAGGAGACTTTTATGTCCTCCCTCTTTCCTTTGTGCTCAGATCCTAAATGAAGGGTAAAATGGTCACTGGATTCTAAGTACAGAATACAAAATACCTGCCTGGTTGCGATGGAGTTTAAACTCTCAATATCTATATTTTTTTACCTTAAGGCACTTAGTACCTTTTCTTACCTAACTTTTTTTTTTTTTTTAAAGATTTTTATTGGGGAATTGGGGGGACGGGAACAGTGCAGGGGAATTGGGGGAAGGGGAACAGACAAGTTGCTGTCATTTTGTTCTTCAATCTAGTTGTGGAGGATGTTGCTTCACTGGCCCAAGTTGGTATCATCATTGCACTCTTCTCTGGCGAGGCAGATCAGTCGCCGGCTTCTGGACGGCCGCTCACTGCGGCTGCTGGCCGCTCACGCTAGCTGCTGGCCACACACGGTAGCCCATGGCAATCCACTGCCACAGGGACTGCAGCCCACGCCGTCGCTGGCGACTCATGGCAGCCCAGCTCGAGGTTGAGCTGTTGTTCAGCATCTTAGCTGTGGAGGGCAGTGTCACTGGCCCTCATATGTGGGATCCGAACCGGGGCCCTCTGGCATCCCAAGCGAGTTCTCAACCATCGCGCCACTCGGCCGGCCCTTACCTAACTTTTTATTTTGAAAAAGTTCAGAGCTATAGAAAAGGGGGAAAATAAATGAACACCCTTATACCCTTAGGCTAGACTCATCGATCATAAATATTTTGCCACATTTGCTCGTTTCTTGTGCTTTTTCTCTGTGTATATACATACATACATACATACATACATACATACATACATTTTTGTGTGTGTGAACTTTGAAAATAAATTGCAGACAATATGTTACTTCACCAATAAATTCTTTAGCATGTATCTCCTAGCAACAAGGTCATCCTCCTATGTAACCATAATACCATTATCAACACTCAGAAATTTTCATGGATACAGCTATATCACCTAGTATTTTTGAGAGAGAAAAAACACACATTTCCATATTCAAATTTTCCCAATTGTTCCAGGAATGTCCTTTATACATATATACATATGTATATATTTGGATCCAAAGCCTAACTACTGATGAATCACAGATTAAATTTGTCCCTTAAAATCTAGAACAGCTCTCCCAGTTGTGCACGTTGCAGGGAAGAGGACTGGGAAAAGGGAGGGTTAGAGAGAGACAGACTGACCTTTTGGAGATCCACCCCTTAAATTTTTCTTTTAAAAGCAATCTTAAAAATCCGGGTTTGTCCATTTGTTTTTCTCCCGTGATATTAGAAGCATTTTTAGAGAGAAGACTGCATAGGGGGTGGTGTGTCCTTTTCTTGCATCATGTCTGGAGGCACTTGAGATCACTTTGCCCTGTGAGTGGTGATGCTAAGTTTGATTTTAAAGTGGGGCCTGTGTACGTCCCAGCTTTGTCTACTGAAAGGTTCTGGAAGCGGTGACACCTGGTAGCAGTGCCACCCAAGTACCCAGGCTCTTGGTTTCTAAAGGACAGTCTCCACTGAAAGGCACCAGGGCTTCTCGAGAAATGCTCTGAGGTTGGGGCAGGAAGGAAGGCAGTGCTCAGTGAATGGTAGGAACATGGAAAGGACGCAGGAACCAGCCTGAGGGGTTTTCCTGGCCAGAGTTGACAAGTTGACCATCAAGAAAGAATAAGGATGAGAATGGATTATAACATTGAATATAAGAATCCATGCATCCCTAGTGATTGACCAAAGATGGGGGAGGAAAGCTCTTTTTTACAGAAGAATGCCAGCTAATGAATGGAAAAGGAAAGGTGGAATTAGAAAAATCACCAGTGTACAATCACCAGTTCAATAATGATTTAGGCAGGCATCCTCAGTGGGTGACAAAACCATGGATGTTTGTTGGGGAACAGTATATTTATATAGTCTCCGCATATCACCCCACCAATTATTATAGGAAAGGGAGAAATTACATTTAGGTTTATTAGGAGGTCTGGTGTTTGTAAGCTCTGAGACAGCTGCCCCACTTTGTTTAAGATGTGCTAGCCTTGATGAATTATGAGCTTTTATGATGTGTATTTTGTCGCGTGTGTGATGTAGCACAAAATTGGCATAAACCAAATAGTGTTCGCCATCTCTGGGGCTGCCCCATAACCAGATACAATCCATTGTGTGCTGGAGGCTGAAACTGGGGAACTTACAGCAAAGCTTGTTGATAAAGCGGTAGTTCCTGATCTGCAGCTATGACTGTTACAGTTTTACTCATTCTAAAGTCAGCTCATTGTCACCTAAGTTCTGTGGTTCTGTTTATTATTTATCATTTTATTGGGGGAGTCCCCGTGTGTCACAGAGAGATGGAATAAGATCTGAGAGACATTTGCTACCTGCCCTCTGGGTTCTAGGCAATGGTGGCAATGTGTAGCTGATGAGTTTCAGTTTTTAGGTCCTGCGTGAGCAGGTTAATGACTTCCATGCTGTTGGACAGATCCTGGAACAGTCAGTGCAGCGGGTGGCATTCTCACCACCTGTGGCAACACGGTGACGCTACCACCTGCTGACCGAGATCTCTGAAGGCGCCCTCTCTTCTCCCCGCAGACACGCCCAGTCCCTGGCCGCACTGCAGGCGTACTCACACTGGTTGGCACAGTACTGCAGTGACACCCGTCGGCAGAACACGCAGCAGTTTGTCACGCTCATCTCCACGACCATGGATGCCGTCACACCCCTGATCAGCACCAAGGTCTGGACAGCCAGGCTGCCCCTTTCTCTTCCTCTGCCTGTGCCTCTGTCCTCGTGCCGCTTACTGTACAGCCGAAAGCTGACGTAGCGTTAGACGCGTGATTCTTACCACCGGGGGACAAACTGTGTGTCGTTTCATGCTCTTCTTTGGTTGTAGTCCACATAAATGCACATGGACCTTGATGTTTTTAGTTCTCTGAGTCCTATATGAATATGTGCTTATTGTGAAAAGTAGACTACGGTTCAGATTTATAGACTGGAAAGCTCTGGTGCCCATTAACCCCTTCCTCCCAAACCTTCTTCCCGTGGAAGCACTGTCAGCGGGTGTGTTATCCTTCAGACGTCTTTCCCTCTTGACACATGTCACTGAAAGCTGGCAGATGCCTGGAGATACGGATTCCTTTGCCTAACAGTGTGCTTTGGCATCCTTCACATGCATAGAGCAGCTTTGGTTTTGTAAACTGCCCCCTGCGGCTCTGCAGTGGGGATGGATTATAAGACTTGTGATAATGGAGATTGGACCCTTGTAGGTGGGTTCCTGGAAGGGGAACTGCTGGGCATAAAGGCTGTGTACATGGAAACTTCCATAGGTTCTAGGGAGTCATCCTTCAGGAAGACACCAATTTATATTACCAAAGTGTCTATAATAGATTCTCATTTCTCTGTTTTATAGTTGTAATCACACATAGCATTTTGTGCCACTGTTAACAGGATAATGGACTGTTTCTATAGCTTTCTGTTGTGTTTAACATTGTAATTGGTAAATGAGTTATGATATCCCATGGGGGAGGGTGTTTCATCATTTCCCTAGCCTCTGCTGGGTTTTTAAGTAGCTGCCACTTGGAAAAAGGTCATTACAAATATTTCCAAAATGTGTGTGTTCATAAACGTTACTTTCTCCTTTTAGGTAATTCCCTTAGAATCAGTGGGATTGTAGAGTTAAAGGTTACGGATATTTCGTGCTCCAAGGGAATGGTAGTGTTTCTTTCCTAAACAAGTCTCCGTGCCCCTGAGTCTTTTGTGTGCTGTCTTCACCATGGTCTCACAGTGTAAAGTCTTGTCGGTAGGAAGTTCTCTCCTCTGCTCATGTGAAAAGGATAGAACAGCGCTTGAATCACATATTTTTAAAGATTTTATTGGGGAATTGGGGGAGGGGACCAGCCAAGTTGTTGTTCTTCAGTCTCCGTTGTGGAGGGTGCCAGTCGCCATATGGCTTTCCGTTGGCAGCTTGAGGTCTCTAAGCTCAAGGTGCCGAGTTCGGTCTTAGTTGTGGGTGGGCATAACCCACCATCGAACAGGCAATCTTGTTGTTATATCAGCTGAGCCATCCTGCCACCTGTTGGCAGCTCAGCGACAGCTCAGCTCGGGGTACAGCATCACTGGCCCATGTGGGAATCAAACCGGCGGCCCTGTTGCTCAGAGCTCGCGCTCTTAAGCCAACTCTTAACCAAGTGAGCCCTTGGCCTGCCCTTGAATCACGTTTTTTTTTTTTTTAAAAGATTTTTTTTGGAGAATTGGAGGAAGGGGAACAGACAAGTTGCTATCCTTTTGTTCTTCAGTCTAGTTGTGGAGGACACTGCTTCACTGGCCCAAGTTAGTACCATCATTGCACTCTTCCTGGGCGAGGCAGATCAGTCGCTGGCTTCTGGACGGCCGCTCACCGCGGCTGCTGGGTACACATGGTAGCCCATGGCAACCCACTACAGCAGGGGCCTACACCGTCGCCGGGGACTCACGGCAGCCCAGCTCCAGGTTGAGCTGTTGTTCAGCATCTTAGCTGTAGAGGGCAGTGTTACTGGCCCTTGTATGTGGGATCCGAACCGGGACTCTCTGGCGTCCCAAGCCAGCTCTTAACCAACGTGCCTCTTGGCCGGCCCTGAATCACGTTTTTGATTGTCACGTTGAGTGAAAGCAGTGGGAGAGCCTGGAGACGGATGGAGTGCAGAGGCGGGGTGGGGAGGTCTTGTTTGCTTGGAGTAGAGGGGTGAGGTGAATGCTTTGCCAGGGAGGTTGGCATGTACTATAAGAGCTGACGGAACCACTATAGATTGTTAGGCTGAGAAGTGACTGGGTTCAAAGATGCCGGTGACTGAACAGGAGGAACTGGAGGTGGTGGTCCGGCTGGCGGGAGGAGCTGTGGACAAGGCAGAGAACAGGATGCCTTTTGGACGGGAGTCACCACAGAAAAGCGCCATTGAGAGAGAGCCTGCGCAGTGTGACTTGACAGCCAAGAATCACGTTGAACTTGTGACTGCCTCATCAGAGACTTCTCACGCCAGTCTCTTGGGGGTGCAGAGAGCTGACGTGTCCTCTTCCCCTTCAGGTCCAGGACAAGCTGCTGCTCTCCGCGTGCCACCTCCTGGTGTCCCTGGCTACCACTGTGAGGCCCGTCTTCCTGATTAGCATCCCCGCAGTGCAGAAACTGTTCAACAGGATCACTGACGCCTCTGCCCAGCGCCTGGTTGATAAGGTGAGGCCCTGGCATCACCCTGGGGTCACCAGAGCTGTGGCTCGTCCTTGGGGAAGCTGAGGAGGAGAGCCTGGCCTTGCTTTTTGCACTCGGCGCTTACAGGCCATGCCGACATAGATGGCTTCCTTAAGGTGCGGCACTGAGCAGCCTAAGCGCCCTCCTGTGCTGCCTCCTGATGTGGACGGCCAGTGTGTTGATTCAGACATGAGACGTTCTCCCGGTATGCACAGGGGCTGTGCTGCTGTGAGAGCTGGCAGTGTGGCTGCTATTTTGTGAGTTGTCCTGGGAGGCTCAGGCTAGAAGCTCAGAAACAATCCAAACAGGCCTGGGGCAGGAGGGAAGCCTAGACAGTCACTCTGAGCACCTGGCTGGGATTGTACGGCTGCTGACCTGGTGCTGGGCACACAGATCGGAAGGGAGTCTTCTACCAGCGCTGCTCTGAGTAGCCCCTCAGGGTGTCAGAGCCAGCCATGCAGGATGGTTAGAGGCAGTGGCTGCCATGTCCCCCTGCTGCTGCAGGTATGAGGTGACAGGGGAAGTGATGGTGCCAGGACTTTCCTTCCTGGGTTGCCTGAGAGTTGAACCAAAGCCCCAGGTCCAGGTTTTAAGAAAGGAGCCTGGGTCCCAAGCTCCATTGTGACTCCCTGTTCTCTGCTGCCCTTGAACTTGTTTCAGTAATGCCAGGGGGTCTCTTCCAGGCTCAGGTGTTGCTGTGCCGAGCCCTCTCGAACATCCTGCTGCTCCCGTGGCCAAACCTCCCCGAGAACGAGCAGCAGTGGCCCGTGCGCTCCATCAACCACACCAGCCTCATCTCCGCGCTCTCCCGGGACTATCGCAACCTGAAACCTAATGCTGTTGCCTCCCAGAGGAAGATGCCACTGGATGATAGTAAGTGGCCGCCAGGCAGGGACATCAGAGAGCTGACAGGGCCGCTGTTCTCTTGCTTTGTGGTAGCTGAGATTTGTACCCGAAGCTCATGAGGTGAATGAATTCCCTGTCCAGTCACTCGACTGCCCAGGGGAAGAGTCACCCTGGGGAGACCCCACTTAGCTATGGGGTTCAGTGAGCTCATCAGTAGGGCCTGTTTCCTGAGCGCAGGACGCCTCTTCTCGTATTTTAAATATACAAAATAATATTTTGAATAGTGCTTATTCAAAGCACTATTGATGGTGCCTTCTGTGGATAAAACCCCATAGAGATGACTGATCTGTTTTAGATACTTGTACAAGCAAGCGAAGCAGTTCACCTCTACACACTGGGGAGAAAAGAATTTAAAAATTATCTTTTGAAACATTTTAACCTTTCTCCAAATACAGATATTTCAGAGGCCTTGAAAGAGCTCGATATCTTCACAAATGGCACTTTAAGTTGATTGTTTATGTTAAAGAGGGAGGAAAAAATCGATCAGGAGCACTCAGTAGTCAAGTAGAAGGTATCAGATTTCTCTGAAAAATCTTCCTGAAAGATTAGATATATTTCTGAAATATCTCACAATAAGAAACTAATGGGACATTTATTGGATAATGTCATTTGTAGAATGTCAACAAAAATGCTTTGTGAAATGTTAGAAATAGTAATAAATACGCAACATTTTAAAAAAACATTACTTTTGTAATTAGGAACATTAACATATGCTTATTGTACAAAAATATTAGACTAGTATAAAGAAGAAAAAAGAAACTCTGAAATCTCACCAGTGTTAGTATTTTACAAAGTAACCAGTTTAACTGTCTTGGTTTCCTTTTCCTATATTTTAAACATTTTGTATAGTTACATTTGTGTAAGAATGGCTGATGTGCTGAGGGCGCACTGGCCTTGGCCACCTTCTGTCTGTCATCAGATCTCTGACTGTGCCAGCATCAGCCTTCACGGTCTGGTACTTGTCTAATCCCGAGTGCTTTACACTCAGTAATTCACTTAATTCTCCTATCAGCCTTATGAGTTGGGTATTGTGAATTATCCTGACTTGATCTGTGAGGAAACTGAGGTTCGAGAAGGTTAAGTAACTTGCCTAGGGGTGACATATAGTTACTGTGGAATGATGGTTTACAGAGTTTGTTTTCTTTTTTACTGTATCTTACATGTACTTGTATCAGTCAGCATAGGGTAAGTTATGCTGTGTAACAAACAATGCCGAAAGCTTAGTGGCCTAATGCAGGGAGAATTGTATTTCCTGTTAATCTATGTGTCAGCCTTGGGCAGGAGGGCCGGGTGGTCCTGCTCATTCCGGTCCCTGCAGGACCTGGCCTCTGGAGGGTTTGTTTCAGTGTGTGCTGTTCTGCATTGGGAAAAGCACCTGTGGTCGTGTAGTGGCTCGTAAAGCTCCCGCCTAGAAGTGGTCCTCACCATTTTTACTTGTATTCTGGTGGCCAGAGTGCATGGTGATATGACTGTGGCTTCACCTCAGAGGGGTGGAACGTGTGATGCCATCATGTGCTGGAAATGCGGGCTGAACAGCATGAGTGATTTCATTTCCACAGTGGATGGGATTAAAAACACAGTTAGCATTTGTGGAGCGTTTACTGCATGCCAGGCGCTGGGTTGAGAATGTTATACACATTATTTCACTTAGCCATCCCAGAGCCCTGTCTGGTGTATCTTATTATCCCCATCCTCCAACTGATGAAGTGAAGGCCTGGAAAGGTTTTTCTATCCCAACTTTAAACTCGGAAAAATTTTCAAACCTACAGAATAATTGGAAGAATAAGAAAATGAACAACTATGTATCTTGCACCAAGATTCACTGGTTGTTAATATTTTGCCACATTTGTGTTCTTCCCCACTCACATGTACTTTCTCTTTTCTTTTTTTAGGGGGGTGTGGGGAATTGGTGAAGGGGAACATTGTGTTTTTCCAGGACCCATCAGCTCCAAGTCAAGTTGTTGCCTTTCAGTCTTAGCTGTGGAGGGCGCAGCTCAGCTCCAAGTCCAGTCACTGCTTTCAATCTAGTAGCGGTGGGGCAGAGTCCACCATCCCATGCGGGAATCGAACCGGCAACCTTGTCGTTAGGAGCACGTACTCTCACCAGCTGAGCCATCCTGCCACCTGTTGGCAGCCCAGCAGCAGCTCAGCTCGGGTGCAGCTCACTGGCCAATGTGGGAATCGAACCGGCGACCCTGTTGCTCAGATCTCGTGCTCTTAACGAACTGAGCCACTGGGCCGGCCCCTGTACTCTTTCTTTTTAACTGAGCTACTGAAAGTAAGTTGCAGACATTGACACTTTATTGCTGAATATTTAACCTTTATCTTTGAAAACAAGATATCCTCTTATGTAACCAAAATACCATTAACACAACCAAGCGGTGTTACATTATTATGATGTCATTTAACATATAGACTTTTCCCCAGTCATTTCCATAATGTCCCTTTTTTGCTTTTTAAAAATCCAGCATACAATCAAGGATCATGTGTCCTATTTGGTTGCCAGATCTCTTTAATCTCTTTATATAGACAAGCGTTCCTGTTTCTTCTTTTTCATGATCTTGACATTTTTGAAGAGTCAGGCCTGGCTTCTTTGGTAGAAGGTCCCATATCTTGTTCTGTCTGATCGCTCCCTGCAGGTTTGGGTGGGAACACCCCCCAGGTGGTGTGTGCCTCCTGTCGCATGGCTTCTGTTTGTTCCGTTAGTGGTGATGCTCAGTGTGATCGCCTGCTTCAGGCGCTGTCTGCCGCTGTCCCCATTATAAAGGTGTCTTCACCCCCCAACCCCCGGGCCTGGCAGGTTTAAGTTGCTCAGTCAGGATCAAGAGGAGAGTTGGGGCAGGAGCCGGACGAGGGGCTGGAGGGCGTCAGACCCGTGCTCTTTCCCACCCCTTTGCCCTTTTTTCTTGGAAGCACTGTTTTTTTAAATTGCTTATCGTGGCCTAGCCTCTGGAAGTACCGTGATTTGCAGACCTGTGCTGTCACTACGTATTTAGTGGTGCTTTCCGTTTTTTACTTGTACACTTTGGTGAATAAATCTTGGTTCTCGTTCCAGTTTCTGTACACGTCAGAGGTCAAGATTTTGGTTTCTGATGCTTGGCCTTTCCCTAAATTGCTTTCCTTGTGCCTCGTGTATGTATTCTTAGGGAAAAGCCTGCCCCGATGCAGTTTCCTGGCTCGGAAAATCCCCGTGTTGTGGTCGTGTGAGTGACAGCTCTGTGATCAGCAGTGTGGGCGGGCAGGCCTGCCATTCACCCTCCAGCATCCCCGTGACCAGCCTTTCGTGGACCAGGCCTGTATGAGCCTCGCTTCTCTCATGCCCAGTCCTGTGAGTGAGGCCGTGTCATCTGTCCACTTCTTCACATGAGGAAACCGAGACTCAGAATCTAGCAGAGTCAGGAGTTAAACCTGATTCCTCCCACCTCCAAGCATGGACTCTCTCTCTGCTGCCCCCTTCTCTGGAAGCCGCCTCAGCCCCTAGAGGCTGCTGAGCTCGGGGGTCCAGGCGATCCAAAAAGAGCTGCCAGGCTGAGCCATGGCGGCTACTTGGGGAAGCTGTCTAAGGGGAAAAGCGCCCACCCTTGCTGGGGGATGATGGCAGCTTTCCTCTCCTGGACTTACTGGTACACCAGACACTGGGCTAGAATTACCCTGAACCTTGTCTCTGCCCCCCACAGCCACTGTGCAGGGGTGGGGCTGTCGGCCGGGCCCGGTGTGCTCACGAGGACCCTGCCCTGGGTGTAGGGCTGTCTGTGTCCTGTGAACTGTCTGGAGTCATCCAGGGAGCTCAGACGTTACGGTGCTGTTAGAAGTATAGATTGTCAGCAACATATAATATGGTATAATAACAAGAATTAAAAATATTGTCAGGCCACAGGCCCATTAAGCCCAGGATCGACCAGGCAGTTTATTCCTGGACACGTCAGCAGTAGATGTTGTCACACTCAAAGATAAAATAGCCCGTTATTTTACCAGCAAAATGAGTGTATTCGGGAATAGTGGAGAATTGCAATTGAGGACAAACAAACTGTAGTTGCTTGTTGGAATACCCATTTCTGGTCAAGATTTCTTTTCCATAAACCTGTAACTTTTCATGTCCAATTAGGTGATGGCCTCTCTTTTTTTTTCTACTTATTTTGGAATAATCATTTTAAGACAAAATTACTTTTTTTTTCCTTACCAAAAAATGCATCTCTGTTCCTCATACCTTCTTTCATTAAAAATACAAATCCCACTTTTCATATATAGTCCTTTTCTTTCGTCCTTATTGTTTTTCAGTAGTTTTGTAAAAAACCTTTTTTGGAGGGTAATAATTTCAATGTTATTAGTTTAAGTGTTATTTTCTCAATTTCAAAACCTTACAAATTTGGTCTAGAAAAGAAATGATGCAAGGCAGTTGTTATGGAGTAATTAAGCCTTCCTCCTAGAGGAACTGCCTGTGCATCCCATTAAAGGAATATAATCTCCTTCTACATAAACAGAATAATAATGCAGTAAGATTCCCCACATTTTTGCTGAAGAGGACTGCTCTACATCGAGTCAGCAAAATAAAGATGTGAAAGATGGGATAACTTATAAACTGATGGCAGAGCTCTAAATATCCTGGAAGCCACGACCAGTCCCCAGTCCTGCAAGTCATTATAAGAAACGGGAAAGCTCTTTTAGATAAAGATGACTGCCTGCTGACAAATCTGAAAAGACAGGCTGCAAAGTACGAGCATATCAGAGAGGGATCCCAGCCTGGCTGGAGGCGGTAGCCCTGTGTGTAAGGGACAGGAAGGGTGTCATTCTCAGATTGGTCTCTTCAGCCGGCTACACACACAACAGTTTTGTTTGCCCAACTGGTGTGAAACTGGCTGTCAGACATGGTGGGTCATTTCACAGCAAGAAATACAGGGTGTAAATGGGCCAGCATATACCTGCACACATAGAACCAGATAAGTGACAAATAAGAGGTTATCAAACTGACATGTATTTCCTATTTTCAGTATATGTCATGCATGCCCTCTATTTTGCATTTTATAAAATTATTCTTATTTACATATAGATACATCTGTCATCTATAAATTACAGATAGAATTAGAGATATATATCATCCATTTGTCAATACTGACAAATACAGATAATATGTAGATTTTCTGTTTCAGTACATGTTAATCATACCTCGCCAGTGGTCCGTCACCACAGTTTGAGAAACAAGAAGTTACAGGACATCTCTCGGTAGTGGGAGAAAGTTCTGGGGGTGGGGGGGAGGGGCGGGGGAAGGGTCCCATGGCTGCTTATTCCCCGTTCCCTCAGCATCAGTGCTTGTAGTTCCATGCAGTTAATTGATGCTTCTTATTCTAGGTGTTTTGGTATTTTCTCTGTGGTTCATTTGTGTTCTTAGCTCTTCTTCCAACTTTTTAAACTATTTGTAATCTTTGCTTTCTTGTGAAAACTAGGAAGCAGGCAGTTGTGAACTGTTTATCATATATTAGCAAACTTAAAATGCATTCCACAATTTTTGGAAGGGTATTATTTTTCATGATAAACATTTCTTATATAAAAATCAAAATGCCAAAAGTGGATCAACTTATGTTTGGCGTTCAGTTAGAAAATTAATTTAGATATTCAGTGACTATCTGTTATTTGGTTTAACTTAGTACAAAGTTTGATTTTATTTGCATTTATTTAAATTACTTGTTTTTAACAAGTATGCTTGGATTAGACATTACACAACTAACCATCACTTTAACTTATTTCCTTGCTGACAAGTTCTGTAAATGAGATATGAACTTATTTGATTTTAAGTAAACCTAGGTAAAGTAAAAGTATTATGCTAATAATTCTAAAGCCGTGCCTGTTTTAATTAAACCAACAACCTGGCACTAATGTGAATATTGAGTATTTTTTCTGAAATTCATTTGGGTTAGTTTATGTTTCTGAGAGTATACTTAATTTATATAAATGCTTGATTTTTTTTAAAGCTCATTAAATAGAGTTCTTTACAAATCAACTTTGATAATACCATCCAAAGGTAGAAAAATATCACACACATATATAGACATAAAGGTAGACACAGACCAATTTTTAAAACTATCAGCCATGTCTCCGGCATAAAACTCAAAAGAATAGTTGGATCCAAATTGTGTTTCTGGCGGATGGAGTAAGTTAAGGTTACCTGCTCAGATGGCCAGAGTTTTATATGAAAGATTTTTTAAAATTTGCATGGTGTAAGGATCCTTTTTAGAGCTGTTTCTGGAGTTATTTTATCGTTTTGAAGCTTCTGCATATCAACCAAAGGATGCATTTCATTGTCTCTGAGAGGCTTGGAGTTCTCTCTTTTAAGGGTACTTACCCTTAAGGTGGATTTACTTAAAACAAAGGTTCTCCGGAATGGCCATTGCAATTCCAAACAGAAAGAGTACTCATTGGGAAGGACATGTCGTTATACAAATGGAAAGGATGAAGCCTTTAAATAGATCACAAATGAAGTCAGAGGGCTCACAAAGGGAGGGAGCTCAGCACCACACAGATTGACCTAACGGAAAGGAGAAAGACCACTCGTGGGAGTGGAGAACACAGAAGGCTCAAGTGGGCACTGCACTAGTTCCTTAGAGGTTTGTCTCCTTTGGATCCCACTTCTGACACCATATAGTGTGTCAGAAATAAACCTCAAAAATAAAACAGCCAGTTATTTTACCAGCAGAATGGGTTTATTTGGGAATAGCAGAGAATTGCAATTTGGGGCTAGCAAATTGTAGCAAGCTACAGGCATGTCTGGAGAGACAAAGGGAAGGGAAGCTTTTGTTAAGTTTTAGGAGGAAACTGGGGAGGATTTTTCTTTTTAATTTTATTGGGTAACAGTGTAATTTTTTCCAGGACCCATCAGCTCCAAGTCAAATAGTTGTCCTTCAATCTAGTTGTGGAGGGTGCAGCTCAGCTCCAAGTCCAGTCACCATTTTCAGTCTAGTTGTGGAGGGCACAGCTCACCATCCCATGTGGGTATGAACTGGCAACCTTGTTAAGAGCACGTGCTCTAACCAACTGAGCCATCCGGCCGTGGGGAGGATGTTTTTAACTGAAGTTTATTGGAGAACAAGAATTCGAGGTTGTGGCAGTTTCCCATTGGCTGCAGGTGGTGGTTAGGTCATAGTTGCTGGGGCAGAGCAAGATCTTCTTTTTCTTAATAGCAGGAGATGAAATTCCTATGTGAAAAATCACCTCCCATGTCAAAATAATTCTTACCTTTGTGCTGGTTGTGTAGGCTGCACCGAGTAGTGCGTGTATGAGAGTTCCCCCTTCAGGGCTCCCCAATGCCATTTTCAGTGAGGTTTCCTGTATTTGTTTTCACAATGCGCACGACAGGTGCTGTGTGGATCACCAGGCAGAGTCATATTTGGAGTTGAGGGAGAGTGTTTAACCTGCGTGTATCCATTCTTGCCTGTGGTAATTATCTCATGACACTTATTCTCTTACCAGTCTGTTCACCATTTTAGTCTTGATTAAGTCCAAGGCACCTAACCTGAGGGTACATTTCATCTTCTCTGTGGACTCGTTTCTGGTGGATAGAAGCAGAACAGAGGGGAAAAAACTGAGCAGGCAACTGGATGCCTAACAGTAAAAAGGAAAAAATAAAAGAAAGAAAAGGATATAGAAATGGAGATACACAGAGAGAGATACAGAGAGAGAGAGATTGATAACTCAGTCAAGAGACTGTATTCCTTTAGCAAGATGTCTGTGTTGCTGTCCTCCGAATACCTGTACGATTTCTTCCGCTTCCCCTATGTTCCCTCTTACTCTGCTTTGTCCTCAGACAAGTCATAACCTGCAGCTTCATCTTGATTTGCAGCCAAAGTGATCATCCATCAGACACTCAGCGTCTTGGAAGACATCGTGGAGAACGTCTCCGGGGAATCCACCAAGTCCCGGCAGATCTGCTACCACTCGCTGCAGGAATCCGTTCAGGTCTCCCTGGCCCTCTTCCCAGCTTTTATTCATCAGTCAGGTAGGCGCGGCTGCAGGCAGGCCTCATTGGTGGAGGGGGATGGCGAGGCCAGAGGGGCTGCTTAGCTCTGCAGAGCACACCCAGTCGGCAGGGCCGGCCGTGACCCTGATGGCTGAGGGCAGTGAGGCTTCTTTGGGGCCTGGGGCCAGGGCCCCTGGAACTTTCATATGGGCCTCACACCTGTGTCAGGTGGCCCTGTCTCCCTTGGGGCCTCTTGCCTCGTTTTCATTTTTAAAGCTTTGCCTTCTCGGGAATGGGGCATAAGTGGATGTGAGGAATGGGGCCTTATCCAGGAGAGGAAAGAACTTCTTTTGATAAGTGCCTCTCATTTATTTGCAATGACAAGGTGGCTCTTGCTGAGATGGTCCCCCCCACCCCGCCATGTCACTGTCACTAGCTTTCTGGAGGCACATGCCTGGCTCTCCTGAGAGCATTTACAGTCGTCGTCTTGTTAGTCTTACGAGAAGAATATCAGGAACTTCTCAGTCAGCCCGAATCCACTGGTTGCCTCTTGTAAGCCGAGTTTGTGTGGCGAGAGCCCAAATATACTGTACAAGACGGTTGTTTAGATCTGGAAGTGGAACCGCATTTAACTCAGTCAATAATTTCTGCAATTAATGCATTTCATGGACCAGGGCCATGCAATCCGAATGTGCCTTCATTATCCACTTTTAGCCACTTAACCCTGACTTAATCCCAACTGCAGGGATTATTGGTCAGAGAGAGAAATGGCTAAAGCACTCAGGTGTTGACCCAATTGAACTGTTCCATCGTGTGCGCCCAAAATGGTCCATCTGCAGTGAAAACAGCGTCGCTGAGGCCAGGCTGTGAGGGAGGCATCATTTCCCCCAGCGAGGCTTCCTGCCCCTGAGCCGGTTTCTCTGCGGGTCCCTAATCATTCCCCACTCTCCCTGGCTCTGAGGGGGATGGGGACATTTCTTCCAGCAGGGAGCCTGAGAGACGGTAGTGCAGGTGGCAGGAGAACGTCCATTGAACGGGATTCTGTTCATCGCTGTGCGCATGTGCCTGATCCTGTGCTTTGTCCCTTTGTTTAGATGTGACTGATGAGATGCTGAGCTTTTTCCTCACTTTGTTTCGAGGCCTTAGAGTCCAGATGGGTGTGCCTTTCACTGAGCAGATCATACAGACTTTCCTCAATATGTTTACCAGGTAACCACACACCGGCTGGCTGCCCCTGGTTTTCAGAGTTCAAGTGAGAAGGAGTGGGTCCTGGCTACAAAGTGGGGGGCCTTTTGTTCCCTGTCTTCACTTGCCACCGTGTTGGTTTTTGTGCTCGTCCCAGAGAAGCACATCCTGGCTACTGTGTGGTCTCTCTCGTCTGCAGGGAACAGCTGGCCGAGAGCATCCTCCACGAAGGCAGCACTGGCTGCCGGGTGGTGGAGAAGTTCCTGAAGATCCTGCAGGTGGTGGTCCAGGAGCCCGGGCAGGTGTTCAAGCCCTTCCTGCCCAGCATCATCTCCCTGTGCATGGAGCAGGTTTACCCCATCATCGCCGAGGTATGGGGGCCAGGGGGTTCCGTGCCACCTCCCATCTGGCTGGGCGGGGAGAGATTGAAATAGCAAGGGACATGGTTTGTGTTTTAAAGCTAATTTGTTAGTTGTTCCATTTCTTTTGTAAATGATTTTTTTCCAAGAAAGACGGCCTTTAGCTTGGCACAGTCTTTTTATGCTGGTTGAGTTTATTAGAATCAGTCCAGTGGGAGTGTGCAGGCTAATGTCACAAGGTTGGTTGGTAAATGAGATCCGTCTCCCACAGCAAAGTGTATAACTTTAGGTGAATATATGATTTTTCTGCAGCAAACAGTTTAACAAATGCCCTTCCCTCCTAAGAACATTCTGGATCTCAAGGATACGAGGCAAGTTCTCAGAATGATTCAAAGCTTTCCTTTTTATAGGAAGCTCTTTGTTCTTCTTAAAAAACAGACAGACACTCAGCATGACGAGGTCCAGAATAAGTGTAGACTTAACTAAATTTTATGTAAAGGTATGCAAATACGAGCCAACCTTTTTAACTGCCCACACCGAGGCCTCAATGAGCCCTGGTGCTTTGCATCATTAAACACCTGTGGGCTCTGTAAGGATTCGGCCGTGGGAGCTTGTGCCTTCAGGTCTTGGTCTCATCTTAGGCTGAATTAAATATCTGCACTTACGATTTTGAATTCTACAGGGACAGCTGGAATAATGTGATCTGTCATACTTTGCAGTGACTTGGAGATTTTTGGTCAAATTAGAAAATAATGTTGAGCCTACCTTCCTCTTCCCTCCTCATCCCAGAACCACATCTGCTGGTGAGAGAGGAGACGGGCTCAGAGAGCAGTTAGCCCTGCGCACCGCCTCCTCCCGGAGGCCCTCAGACGCGCCTTTCTGTGGTTCCTAAGTGCCCCTTACACTCCTTTTCTAGAGACGCAGAGGTGCTTTAAGCCTCCAAGGTCGCGTAAGATCATGAGGTTAGCCAGATGGCGCTGTTTTCCTGGAAAAAGGGGCAGCAGAACCCAGACGAGGTGACAGGTCACATCAGCTGTTTTCTGAACAGAAAATCCATATTCCTAATTGTTCTTCCATTTAGTGGCCCTTTCTTAGCTCAAGAGGCTGAGTGCTTCCACCAGAAAAAGGGCCTCTGGCGCTGACCCAGGCTCTCCGTCTCAGACGTGGCCCGTCTCTTGCCAGTATTCCTGGTGTGAACTGCCCCCCACAGGGCTGGCAGGACAGGAGTGAGGGTGGGACGCTGCACTCCAGCCTCTGTCACTCCGGGCCTGTCTCTGAGGGGCTCCCCGAGCCGCAGAAGGGGAGGCCTGAAGGCCTGTGTGTGTCTCCACAGCGCCCCTCCCCTGACGTGAAGGCTGAGCTGTTTGAGCTCCTCTTCCGGACGCTCCATCACAACTGGCGGTTCTTCTTCAAGTCCAGTGTGCTGGCCAGCGTGCAGAGGGGCGTCACCGAGGAGCACATGGAGAACGAGCCTCAGTTCAGTGCCGTCATGCAGGTACCGTGGCAGAGCCTGGTGACCCAGGACCAGCCGGTCCTTAGCCAGGACACCGCCTGGGTCCGTTGACTGTCCCTTGGTTTGCTTCTCTGGCACGTGGCCCCTCTTCCTCTAATGTGGCCACTGCAACAGGGATGATCTCCTAAGTCCTGCAGCCTTAGCTCTGAAGCTCAGCCCTCCCTCTCAGTACCTGTGGAGCTAGGTGACTTCTTGGGATCTCAGTCTCTTTATCAGCAGAGTGGGGCTAGTACTGTTTACTTCATGGGGTCGTGTGGTTAAATGAGCGCAGACGTGCACGTGCCCGAGAAATGTCCATCCCTGTGCTTTAGCGAGTGTGTCCCCAAGTGGAAGGACCCTGCCTGTGTTAGTCACCCGGGGCCCTCCTTAACTGGAAGCCACCTGAACTGGAGTGCCTGGGATGGGGGTTTAGAGGGCAGTGAGCTGCTGGGAGGAGCCTACCCTGTGAGTCAGTGCCCCCTTTCAGAGCAGGTGTGACTGTCACACCCTAGGGCTACCTGGGGCTGATCACGCCTTGCAGGGGAAAACTGAGGTGACCTTCAATCCCCAGGATGTTTGTGTCCCCTTCCAGCTGCCCTGTGTGGCCTGCACTCAGCTGTGTGAATTTTGTGTTATAACTCCAGGTGGAAGTAGAAAGTTTTTGTTGTTGTTGTTGTTTGTTTGTTTTTTTAAAGATTTTATTGGGGAATTGAGGGAGGGGAACAGACAAGTTGCTGTCCTTTTGTTCTTCAGTCTAGTTGTGGAGGATGTTGCTTCACTGGCCCAAGTTGGCACCATCATTGCGCTCTTCCCGGGTGAGGCAGATCGGTTGCCGGCCATTGGACGGCTGCTCACGGCAGCTCTCGGCAGCTCACGCTGGCTGCCAGCTACTCACGGTAGCTCATGGCAACCCACTGCAGCAGGGGCTGCACCCTACGCCGTCGCCAGCGACTCACAGCAGCCCAGCTCCAGGTCAAGCTGTTGCTCACCATCTTAGCTGTAGCGGGCGCAGCGTCACTGGCCCTCATGTGGGATCCGAACCAGGTTCCTGCTGCTCAGAGCTGGCGTCCCAAGCCAGCTCTTAACCAATGCACCACTCAGCCGTCCCTCTCGTTGTTTTTATAGTGCGTGGTTTTTCTCACGGGGAAGCAAGGGGGCGTATCTTCCTTCCCTTCAATTCCCCACTGATGCCCGCATGTACACATGCATACACATACTCTTGTGTGGACATTCCACCCATTACGTGACCTGTAAGAGGTGCACCTATAGGGACAGTAAATGAGTGGTGATGGCCCAGGGCCGGGGGAGCACTGACCATAGGGGCTGCGGGAACTTTCTGAGGAGCTGGAGGTGTCTGTGCCTTGATGATGAGGGAGGTTTAGATGACCCGCTGTGTCGGTGAGAATTCTCTCATGCTGAATTTTACTCTGTGTTATACTTCAGTAAACCCGACTTTAAAAACAGAAATGAATGAGAACCATCGGGCAGCGTGGAGATGCCATCACTGCCGCAGGGGTTATGAGATCTTCTTGTAGCTCAGGAGCCCTGCACACCACTGGGTTTCCATTCCGTGGGCCTCCCCTACTCTCCGGCCCCTGTCGGAGCCGGGCTCTTTGTGGGGTTTTTTTTGGGGGGAAGGGAGGTCTTTTTGCCTTTCAACTAATAACTTTTACAGCCCAGAAATGCAAAGCAGTTTGAAAATTTGCCATTGCTTAGCTCCAACGCAGAGGCAGCCAGTTGTGAAGGAGCCTCTGGTGATTTGGTTAGGAGAGGGCGGCTTAGCGGGGTGCATGTGGCTGGCTTGAGGGGCGGCCACGGGGTTTGACTAGTCATTAGCTTCTGACTTCAGAGATAGGTCCCATGAAGGGGTCCAGAATTTTATCACAGAAGGTGTGGGATGAGACCAAGAGAAGTGAGGCCCAGTGGGGAGGCCTTGGGAGCCCAAGTCACACAGGAGCTTTCCGAAGATGTGACTTGACAGGTGACCCATGGCCCCACCATCAGCTTGAGCCGTCGTGGAGTGGGGGCTCCTCCAGTGTGGCAGGGTGCCCAGGAGGGCGTGGTCTGAGGGTCGCAGTGCTGCTCATAGATGACGGTCGTCTTTCCCTGGATAGGCTTTCGGTCAGTCCTTCCTTCAGCCTGACATCCACCTGTTTAAACAAAATCTCTTCTACCTGGAGACGCTTAATACCAAGCAGAAGCTGTACCACAAGGTAAGAGCCCATCAGAAGGCGTCCTTCCCCGGCTGAGTCCCCGCTTCGCGTGGGGGGCGGTCCTGGACCCTGCTTGAACCTCCGTGACCCGGCGTGGCCCGGTGTGAACCTCCGTGACCGTGCGTCATCCTGCATGGCCCAGCCGTCACTCCCTGCTGTCTGTCTGCAGAAGCTCTTCCGGACCACCATGCTCTTCCAGTTCGTGAACGTGCTGCTGCAGGTCCTGGTTCACCGGTCGCACGACCTCCTGCAGGAGGAGATTGGCATTGCCGTGTACAACATGGCCTCCGTGGACTTTGATGGCTTCTTCGCAGTCTTCCTCCCTGAGTTCCTGAGCAGCTGTGATGGTGTGGATGCCAACCAGAAAAACGTGCTAGGGCGGAATTTCAAGATGGATCGGGTGAGGAGAGAGCAACCCGGCTACCGGGAGGACAGGCGTGGGCCTGGCCCTGCTCTGTGAGGGGAGTGGGCTGCCTCTGCGTGTGCTCTGGGCCCCTAGCGGCCCTGGGGCAGCTCGAGCAGTTCCTGGATGGAGGGTCTGTGCTTTCCCCAGCGCCTGTGTCCTTCATCTCAGCCATGGGGCCCCCGCAGCCCAGCTGCTTTGTCTGGGCTTCTTGGTGGACACTGTACCCCACTGAGCACACCTCTGACTGGGCCCGGCCTCTGGTTCCTATGGGCCGTTAGCCACTGCAGCCTGAACTTGCCTGTGGGCTGAGAAGATGGGTGTTGGTAGCTGCTTCTCTGGGCCCCAGTCTTAGACATAGACCTGGTTCTTCCCTGACCATCCCCTGCCCAGCTCGAGTGGCCCAACCTGCTGCCAGGTCCTGGGAGGAGCCCTCAGTGCTCACCCTCCTGCCGCCCACCCGCCCACCTGGGAAAGTCTGGTGGACTGTCCCCTCCTATGCCGCGCTGTGGCTGGGATCCGGGGTGGTGACAACTGAAGCTGTCGTGTCTGGACCTCACGGCGCCCTGCGTTTCCTGTCCTGGGGCCTCCTTCCTGTAGTTGTTAGGTCACTGCATGCTGGTCCATCCATCGGCTGCCTCTCTGGAATTGTTCCTGTGAGAGAAGCTGGTTTTGTCTGTCGGCTCCTCATACTTGATGAAACGGACCCTCTTTCGCCCACATCCCTGTGGTGCTCCCGACTCAGCTCCTGAGCCTGTGGCCCGTCCATGGCCTTACTCAGTCCCCACATCATGCAGCTCATGCTGGAGCAGACTGCCGCCTCCTACTTATCTCAGCTGTGCTGGGTTCAGGGCAGTTATTCCGTAGACTCAGCTCCTGTTTTCCTTTGTCTTGACATTTTTCTTTCCTCGCACTTACCTTCTTGTCTCTTGAGCTTCTTGAAGTTCACTTCAGCCACTTGGGTATTTTTTCTTTTTCTGGAGGCCAGATCCTAATATCTAATGATCAGTTTCTACTGACGTCATTATCAGTCAGCTTCTTGGTGTCAAGTTGGTCTCCAAATCCAGTCATGCATCAGAGCACCTGGGTGCTTATGAAACATACAGACATGGAGCCGCATGTCCCGGGTCCCACCAGGAAGCTCAGGCTCAGCATTTGGGGGCCAGATGTGACCGCCTTCCCGGAGTCTTGCTGGGCAGACACGTCCGTGCCTCTGTGGACTGCACTAGGCTTTGCGAAGTGTGGGTCCTGTTGTTATCCCATTTCTCGGGTGAACCCAGGCCCAGAGAGGGCAGCAGTCCCCGGGGGGGCGCCTGGAGGCAGGCCAGGCCTGGTCGTGTGGCCCCACAAGCAGCTTGCTGAGCAGGCTGTTCTGGTAGCTTGGGAGGACACACTGACCTTCCAGCTGGGCCAGGAAACGGCGGGCTCTTGGGGCCTTTTGGGCCCAGGCTGGCTTGGCACTGCATTTTGGAGAGGAGTGCAGGTTAGCCAGATAGTGGGGGATGGGGGAGAGCTGTTTATGAGCCTCCCCCGTCACTGGGGCTTCAGAAGTGATCCCATTGGCGCTACCAGCCAGTCAGAGAACTGGTTCACCCTGTGACACATGACTCCACAGCTGGCCCTACAGTTCGGAGTCCAGTAATCACAAACGAAAGCTGAGGACGCGGGCCTTGGGCGGGTGGTCTCGTGGTGCTGCGTGGTGGTTTGGGGTTCCATCTGCGAGGGGCGCCCTCCATTCGCAGTCTGTGGCTCAGTAGGCAAGTGGTGGGTGCGTGTGGGCTGTTGCTGGCATGCCTCTGTTGAGTGGGCTGCCTGGAGGCATCTGTGGACACAGCGCGGCTGGCTGTAGGGAGGGAGAGAGGCACACTGGCAGCCACGCCGGGGCTCACCTCCTTCCCTCCTGTCTCATAACCTGGGGCGAGTTTCCTGAGCTCTCTGCTTCACCACCTTCATCCTTAAAGTGGTGGTGCTAACAGAGCCACGCGGTAGGCGTGTGGTAGGGACGACAGCGTGAGGGTGGGAGGTGGGAGTCCCCGGGCGGAGGTGGCCCTGGCGCCCCTGGGCAGATACGAGCCGCGTCCTTTCCCCCACAACGCCTTTGCTCACACGTGTGGGAAAGGAGTGGGAGCCGCATGTCAGTTGTGGGACGTGCTCGCTGGTCTCTGGAACACACTCAGAGGGCCATGCAGGGGGTGGGTGG